TCAGACTGGCCTCAAACTTGGAGATCTGCCTGCCTCTGCCTCCCAAAGACATGCACCACTACCGCCCAAATTTAAAAAAAAAAGAAATTCTTATTTATTATTCCTTTGTTTTTATGATACTGAGTATAGAACTTAGCCCCATGGCTGCTTAACAAGTCATCAACCGCAGAGTTACACTCTTCCTTCCCTTGTTTCTTTTGGGGATATATAGCTATGGAAAAGTTGAAATTTTAGTAAAAACAAGAACCAAATCAGTCAAGTGTAGAGGTATTTTGTGATAACACTTAGAAGATTCTCCTGAAGTCCTTTTCAGAACACATATCTTATACTAATAATGTTTAATTATAATGCAATTGCTCCTTTCAATTTTCTGAGAAAATTCATGTGCATAAAAGAGCTGTAGTATCTTCCAGGATTTTTAGAATACCAAGAAGAAAAGATTTAAAAATTTTTAACTTTATTATTTATTATTTAATGTGTATAAGTATTTATCTGTATGTGTGTATGTGTACCGCATGTGTGTCTGGTGCCCAAGGAGATCAGGAAAGGGTTTCAGATTCCCCCCTGAAACTGGAGTTATGGTTGTAAGCAATCCTGTGGGTCTGGGAACTGTACCCAGGTCCTCTGAACCATCTCTCCAACCCCTGTAGAAGGAGACTGAGACTGTTCTTTCTTTTCTCGACTGCTCAGACCTGAATAATCACACAGAAACTATATTAATTACAATACTGTCAATGACTCTAGTATATTTCTAGTTAGCTCTTACATCTTAAATTAATCTGTTTACTGCTATGAGGCTGTAACCTACTGGTAAGGTTATGGTGTGTCCTCCTTTGGCATCTCTGACTCTGCCTATTCTCTCTATATCTCTGTTCTGATTTCCTGCCTGATTTTACTCTGCTAAGCCATTGGCCCAAACAGCTTTATTCATCAACCAATAAAAGCAACACATATACAAAAGGACTTCCTACGTCAAGCTGCTAAGAAAGGGCTTTTTAAAAAAAAGTCTATAATGTTCCACTAACTACAGTTAATATCACCATTAGCATAATGTTTTAAACCCTGGGTCTTCAGAGCACTGAGGGCTGTCACGGTTGTGCTGTTAGTTTGGCCTTTGCTTGAGCACCTTCATTATTACACAGGTCATTTCAGACACCTGTAGTTTCTTCTTTTTAATTAATTTTTATTTATCTTTGTGTGTATAGGTATTTTACTTGCATGCATATCTGTGCACCATATGTGTGCCTGATGCCCACAGAGGTCCAAAGAGGGTGTCAGATTTCCTGGAACTGGAGTTACAGGCAGCTGTGAGCTGCCATGTGGGTGCTGGAAGAGCAGCCAGTGTTCTTAACCACTGATCCATCTCTCCAGCCCTGAGAATACCTATAGTTTCTAAGACAGATATCTAAAATATCATACTGATTCCTTCTCACCATAGCAGAAATACATTGCTGGCCTCAAATTATATGGGGGAAGTCAGTTTTATTTTCTTGAAAAATTAAAATTTGGATTTCTAGTACTTGTTTATAGACTTTTTTGTCTTAAATATAGTTTCAAATAGTTGTTACAGTGAAAACATACAGAATATTAACACTAAGTTTGTATACTTTTTATACTAAATAAAACTTAAAATAAAAAATATACAGTGCATTTAATGGATTTTATAGTTTTCAAAACCCTCTCCACATACACATCACATTTTCCCTTGTGGTGTTGAGGGTGTGCCGTGCACATGCTAGACAAGCATTTTCCACTGCTGAGCTCCAGTGGAAGCCTCCTGTCCTGTTTCTTACGCTCCTAGGATGTCTGTCTCACAGTGGGGAGTGAAGGAGTCAGGGATCCATCCTGCCCTTGACCACCGGTCATGTCTCCCTATCACCCAGTTACAGATAAGATACACAACCCCTTTGAGATGTTTGGAGGCCTTTTCCGAGTTACTTAGCTTTTACCTGATGGAGTCGGTACAAGAATTCCTGAGTGTCCCAAATGCCAGCCAAGGCAGGATTTCTTCCAGTCGACCTAGGGTGAAGGGGCCACAGACAGCATCCTGATGTCCTTGGTCTAGAACTAGGGCTTGCTTTAATGTTGACCGAGCCAAGTAGGATTCAAGATTCAAGTCGCAGCATTTTAATTTGGTACAAGTGACCCAGCTTAATTAGCACTAATTTAGAACGGTGTGTGTCTGGAGAGGGGACTGCTAGCTGTCATCTCACTGTATTCACATCGTCCTCTACATGTGGGTTTTGGGTGGGAAGTGATCATCGGGACCATTTATTCAGCTTTCTTCTCTACTTTTCTAGCTACAGTGCTAATTTTTTCCCGTTTGGAATGCATGCATCTTTTTGTGTGATATATGCATAAGCAGGATTCCTTCCTCTGCTTCACTGTACGGCAGCCCCTGATGTACACGGTCTTTACTACAGACCGGCGCTGATTTTGATATGCAGTTTGACCCTAATTCTCACAGGAGCTCTTACACCAGCGTGCCATGTGCATCACTGGAGAGCTATGAAAATAACACCGCATCCTATTTTTCCCAATTTGGATGAAACCCATGAGAATTAAAAATCACAAATTTAATGCTTCTTCTCAAAATAGTAAATTTGTTCTTTTCTTCCCACAAGTAACTTAGTAAATTCCGAAAAGATTCCCCAGTGAGTCCGTTCAATTAATTATAGGAAGCACGGGGAATTGAAAACTAAAGCAAGTGTGAGTGGAAGCCAGTGGATCTCATTTTATCTAAAAATGATCATAATGCCTATCCCCTGAAGATTTTAGCAAGCTTTTTATTCGTTTGCTGTTTGAGACAGTCTTACTGTTTAACGCAGGCTGACCTCAAACTCACTGTGTAACAGTCTGGCCTGGGGCTGCTGTCCTTCTGCCTTAGCCTTCTTTTAGGATTATAGGCATGTGCCACCATGCCTAGCCTAAAAAGCATAGCTTTCATGTAATGTTTGTAGTTTCTTATGAAAAACTCTAGTTATTAATTAGCCAGGTATGGTTTTTGACCCCAGAACTCCAAGGCAAAGGCTGGCAGACCTCTGAGTTCAAAACCAGCTTGTTCTATGTATCGAATGAGACCCTGCCTCAAACAAACAAATAAATACAATTAATAATCTATTTTTATTGTATTGCCCTGCCCTGTATATTCACTTTATGTTCAAACATGATATGTCTTAGTTTCTTTTTTTTTCTTTTTTTTAAAAATTATTTATTCATTTATTTATTTATTTATTTATTATGTATACAATATTCTGTCTGTGTGTGTGCCTGCAGGCCAGAAGAGGGCACCAGACCTCATTACAGATGGTTGTGAGCCACCATGTGGTTGTTGGGAATTGAACTCAGGACCTTTGGAAGAGCAGGCGATGCTCTTAACCTCTGAGCCATCTCTCCAGCCCCATGTCTTAGTTTCTTACATTCATCTTATAGTTTCTTAAGTCTCAGTAATAATGAAACTATAATGTTCCCAAATTTCGTCTTTTCTAAGAAATGCTTTTTATCCATTTTTAGGAAACAAATATACTCTAGAGACTCGACCCAACCAAGAAGGCATCGATGTAAGACAAGAACTCCTGAAATTTCATTCTACATATTATTCGTCCAATCTGATGGCTATTTGTGTTTTAGGTCGAGGTAAGAACTCTTCAGACTGTTCAGACAGTTAGTGGAGTGGTGTTTAGTTTTTGTCCATTTTGACATTTTACAAAGTATTAGCAGGGTTGGAAGTATCGGTATTTATCTGCTCATCGTCTTGAAAATGACCTGCAGATGAGAAATATACTTAAGCCTGCAGTCTTCCAAGAAGAACTGGAGACCTGATGCTCACGCGAGTTACTGGTGGGCTTTCTGACTGCAATAAGGAAAGACTGCGTGGAGGAAGATTTGATCTTACAGTAGTTAAAAAGTCTGCACGTTAATGAAACCGTAGAAGACAATAGATAGATAGAAGTATTTGTAAGTGACAAAGGTTTGTTTTTAAGGTGGAATTAGTGATAATGTGTTGTTTCCCTGTTAAACTGTTGTTTTGTTTTTGCTTTAAGTAGTGCTGGAGTCGGCTGTGGCTGCTGTTCTGTATTGCTAGTGGTAAATGGGGCCTTCAGCTGCCCTAGTCTCTCTGAAGGGCAGTTTATTTTTATGATTATTTGAGGCAGGGTCTCACTGTGAAGACTAGGCTAGCTTTGAATTTGTGATAGTCTTCCTGCTTCTGCCTCTCAAATGTTGAGATTATAGGTGGGAACCTGGCCCAAAATTAAAAGAGTTATAGTTGATTTAGATACAAGACAAAATGGATAAAAAGAATACTAAAAATGTATGAATGTGGTATAACAGTTAGAACTTACACTCTGTAGAGTTCAATAGCTTTACTTTGAAGACCAAACATACTGCCTACTTACCCCGTGACTGTGAACTAAGGAAGTTAGCGAACTTTTCAAAATATCTGATTTAGGGTTTGTGAAATGGAGATGGGGGCTGGAGAGACTGTCTTCTTCTTTTTTTTAAAAAAATATTTATTTATTTGTATATTTATTATGTATACATAATTCTGTCTGAGTGTATGCCTGAAGGCCAGAAGAGGGCACCTGACCTCGTTACAGATGGTTGTGAGCCACCATGTGGTTGCTGGGAATTGAACTCAGGACCTTTGGAAGAACAGGCAATGCTCTTAACCACTGAGCCATCTCTCCAGCCCCGAGACTGTCTTCTAACCTCTGTGTGTATGCACACATGTAAATAAATACAGCTTTTAAAAAACTTTATAATACTGCTTATTAAAGATATATAGGCCTAGAATATTCAGTATTACTGGATATATAGAACCCAGTCCTGAAAAATGTGGATCTAAAAGCTGTCTTGTATCTCAGATAAAAATGTATGCTCAGGCTGCGTCCTGGAGCTAATCCTATTCCCACAGGCACTGGCTCTGCAGCTGCCTCTTTTAAAGGTAACTTTAACTAACTCTCTATTGTTCTATTTATAAATAAGACTCAAGATTCAAAGGCTGGGGTGAAAACTCGCTAACTCAGAAAAGCTAGGTCACAATTAGCTAACTTTCCTTCCTTGTTGGGGTCTCTGAAAGACCCATGCTTCCATTTAGCCAAACCAGAAAAAGCTGTGCTACTCCAAACCCTACCCTACTACTTCCTGTGTCTGTCCGCCTCTCCCGGATGCCCTCTGATACTACTTCCTGTGTCTGTCCGCCTCTCCCGGATGCCCTCTGAAGTGCCATGGTTGCTTTCTGTCACCTTATTGCTAATGCAACTTCCTGACCCTAGATTAGTTTTATGTAATTAATGCAAATGCAAACTTGAGGTTCACAGTGTGATCAAATATCCCCCAACAACCTAATGGCACTAGCTGAATTAAACTTGAGCTCTGCCCTCAGTGTTTTTGATTTAAAATCAGATGTTCCATTTTCCTGGTCAGTACACGTCACTTCCAACCTATCTGCTTTTGCGTGAGCTCAGTCGAGTTGAGGGTTCTCAGGGAGGCGCCCTCACATTACAGAGGCGTGAGGCAGAGATACCATCTTTTACTGCATTACTAGATGGGGATGAGAGGAAAACTAGCCATGTGTAAGGGTTTCTGTCACAAAAGAACAAAAACATTGTTTTCTGTCTTTGCTGTAGCTGTTCTAGCTGTAGCAGCACCAACTGTCCAAACATTTGTCAAATAAGTAATGATCAAATATAGACACCGAAATTAGCAAGCACAGATAACACAAAGTTAAAAGGCTCAGTTCCCCGGGCTCTGGTGCTCTCAGCTTAGTGGGAAAGCCAGGCCGTTCAGACGCCTTACCTTAGAAAGTTACATTGTGCATGCTGGAGAGATGGCTCCGTGCTTGATTCTTTGGCAGGGAGCCTGAGTTTGGTTCCCAGGACTCACACAGATGGCTCATAGCCATCTATAGGTTTAATTCCAGGGGCTTTTGACACACTCCACTGACTTCCATAGGCCCAGGCATGCATGTGGTACACATACATACATGCAGACAAAACACTCATAAAATAAATAAATGTGTGTTAAGCTCCATTGTGGTTTTGTGCTTTAAGGGTAGAAACACAGAGAATTGCAGCATATTTGATAGAACCTTGTTTGAAGGACTCCACTGTCATTAATACTTGAACTTGACAGCCCACCATGCATAAAGATGTCCCCTGACCTTTTTTCCCCTTCAATTCTTAAAGAAGTAAATAACCAGACTGGTTTAGAACTCAAAAAACTTCAAAGTTGGCCTCTAGTTGGGAAGACAGGCCATCTGACAGCTCTTGCATCAAATATATTCCGTCTACTCTCCAGTTCACTTGTCATATAACAACTAATCCCTGGTCTGCCTTTTGTCTGACTATGCACATTTTCCTAAATACAGCTAAGTAGTTGGTTGTGGAGGTATACACTGTTAGTCTCAGCACTTAGGAGGCAGAGGCAGGTGGATCTCTGAATTCCAGGTGAGCCTGGTCTACAAAGTAAATTTCAAGCCAGCCAGGAACACAGCTGGTATTCTGCTGTCTTTGATATTTGTTTTACATGTGTTGCAAGGGTGTGTGTGTGTGCGTGTGCGTGTGTGTGCGTGCGTGTGTGTGTGCGCGCGCGTGCAAAATAAGGTATTATGAGGAATGTCTGGATATTTACATCTACACAAAAGTGGCTGTGGGTCAGACACAGTCCTCGGTGTTGCAGAGACTTCCGACGTAGTGTAGGTGGTGGGCTCTGCCTGCTTATCTTCACCACACACGGGCTTTTCGTTTTATTTTTCCCAAGTTTTTCTTTTAAAACTATGAGACATTTCAGAAGTCCTAAGGCCTGAAATCCTATCTGTGCTTCAAGTTCTGATTGGTAAATTCTGCTTTTTCTCTGCTTCTTGTAGAATCTTTAGATGACCTGACTGACCTGGTGGTGAAGTTATTTTCTGAAGTAGAGAACAAAAATGTCCCTTTGCCTGAATTTCCCGAGCACCCTTTCCAAGAAGAACATCTTAGAGTACGTGCATATAATTCCGTTCTTTTTCATTTGTGAATGTAATTGTCATGGCTATCAAATCAATTTTATGCATGTTAGGAATGTATATATTAATAAACAATGCACCAGAAGGTTTTGATCCTTGCATTCTAAGAGCAGTTTGGGTAGCTGTGACCTTGGCAGGCTATTAAACTGTCAGTGCCAGAAGGCACGGGTCCAGAGCTGCCTCAGGATCTAGGGCACCACGCTTAGCCCATGTAATAAAATCACACTGAAAGAGAACCCGATTCATTTATTTCTTTGTGGTCACTTCTTTTCAGTCTGGCAGGTAATTAACCAAAATCAGTACTTTTCATTATTAGTAAGTATTTCACGCTGTAAACGTCATATGTAGCAAACATTTTGTGATTTGTCCTTGTCTTTGTCTTTTTCTCCCCAGCAACTTTATAAAATAGTACCCATTAAGGATATTAGGAATCTTTATGTGACATTTCCCATCCCAGACCTTCAGCAGTACTACAAATCTAATCCTGGTCATTATCTTGGTCATCTAATTGGGCATGAAGGTCCTGGAAGCCTGCTGTCAGAACTAAAGTCAAAAGGTAAGTGTCTTTGGGCAGCACCCTGAATGTAGTACCCCCATCTTTCACTTGGTTCCTCATTGTCACCTAGGAGGGAAGGATTTTAGATGACACCTTGCAGTCTTGAGTGATGCGGTCATTGTTAGTGTTTCTGCCTTTTGTCTGGGGCTCCTTCCACAAACCTGTTTTGCCATCGAGTATTATTTATTGATCAGTGAAGGTGAGCTATTTCAAAAGTTATCATCATGTGTGTTGGAATTGGACTCAGACCTTTGTACCTTAGGCAAATGGTCTGCCCCGGAGCCATATACTCAGCTGTGCTGTAAAGAAGGATGAAGAGGTTACCTCAGCTGAGTGCTGTGGTGTATCCCTGTGATCCAGCTTGTCGGGAGGCCGAGGCAGGGAGATCACCAATTCCAGACCAGCTTGGGCAACACAGTTCAAGATCAGTCTGTCTCAAATCACAGAAGAAAAGTCTGTGATGAATTTTTTTTTCACCCTAACCATATCTGTACCAATTGTTTTTTGTTTGTTTGTTTGTTTTTGTTTTTTGTCTCTGTGTAGCCCTGGCTGTCCTGGAACTCACTCTGTAGATCATGCTGACCTTGAACTCATAGAAATCCACCTGTCTCTGCCTCTCAAGTGCTGGAATTAAAGGCATGTGCCACCACTGCCCGGCCATATTGCTTATTTACCTGCTTCAATTCATCAGAAAGGTGTGGGATGTAGAAAGGAGAAGATTTCCAAAGCCCATTCAGGACTTATGTGTGCTACTGTATACATTTATGCACATGTCTATTTCCTGTTGGGTTGATTTGCTTTCTGAGGTTGACTTTTTTCCTGCAGGGTCCATTTTAATTTCTTCAACTATATAGTATGGATATTACTTGGATGCAGTAGTGATGTGCACCTGAATTCCAGCAAGGCCAAGGCCAGCCTAAGCTACATAGGTAGTTCCAGTCTAGCTCAAACTACATAGCTAGTCTCTGTTTCAGGGCTGATGAGATGGCTTGCTGCCAAGCCTGACAATGCAAGTTCAGTCTCCAAGACTTACTTAGGGTAGAAGGAGGAAACCGATTCTCTTAGGCTGTCTTTTGATTTCTACAGCATATTGAGGTACAAATGATATCCCCCCCCCAACACACGTGTGTGTGCTCAGAGAGAGAAATATAATATGTAATTAAAAAATTGGGGTTGGGGGAGATAACTCAGTGGTTAAAGCTCTTGCCATACAAACATAAGGACTGGGGTTCAGATTCCCCATAGCCCACATGTCAGCTTACAATTCTAGTTTCAGAAGACAGAGTCAGGGGTCCCCAGAACAAACTGCCTAGGGAGACTACTAGGTTTGATTATAGTGCACTACCTCAATGAATAAGACAGAAGAGTGAGTTAGGATGATTGCAATTTGACCTTGGCCCCCTACATATACATGCACCCACATATATGTGCCTGTATACATGTCAGCATGCATAAGCATACATGAAGTAGAAAAAGAAAAAACTAATGATGGAAAAAGCAACAACACCCCTTTCTATCCTTTCCCAGGGCCCAGTGAAATTGTTCAGCCAATAAAGATGCTTGCTGTCTATCAAACCTGATGACCTAAAGTCCCATCCTGGAACCCACATGGTGGAATGAGAGAATCAGCTTACAAAAGTTGTCCTCTGATCTCTGCCTGTATACTGTGGCACATGTGTGTTCCTACACATACACAGAATTAATTTCTTTTAATGTTGGGACGGGTCAGATGACTTAGGGTGGTGAATTTTAACCTGTGAGTCTTGACCCTCTGAGAGCTGAATGACCCTTTCCTAGGGGTTGCCCAAGACCATCAAAAAACCACAGATAATATTACAATTCCTAGCAGTAGCAAGATTACAGTTATGAAGTAGCAATGAAGATAGTTTTACGGTTAGGGGTTATCACAACATGAGGGACTGTATTAAAGGGTTGCAGGCAGCATTAGGAAGGTTGAGCACCACTGGCTTAGAGGTTAAAAGCGCTTACACCTTTGTCAGAGAACCAAAACTCTGATTCTGGCACTCCTTAGGCGGCTCATAGGCACCCATAACTTCAGCTCACTCACACACGTGTGCATATGCACACACGTAATTAATATTTTTAAAATGTTAAATAGAAAAATGGGGATTCTGTGTGTACATATGTGGTGTTCGGGATTGAAACCAAGGTTTCATATGTGTAAAGTAAGCACTGAGCTATATCCCTAGCTCTAGTATGAGCATTTTAGAAATCCCTTGTTATGAAAGAAGCCAGGGTTGGCATCATGTGCCATTACGAGAGGTGCTTGCCACACAAGGCAGATGACCTGAGTTTGATCCCTTTGTCCCACATAGAGCTGAAGCAGAGACCTACCTCTACAAGGTTGTCTTCTGAGCGCCACCTTATGTTCTGGCATGTGTGTACTATACATAAATACTCCATGCACACATAATAATAAATACAGTTGTTTTGGGTTTTTTTTTTTTTTGGCCAGTTGGTGATGGTGCAGGCCTTTAATCCCAGCACTCGGGAGGCAGAGGCAGGCGGATCTCTGTGAGTTTGAGGCCAGCTTGGTGTACAAGAGCTAGTTCCAGGACTGACTTCATAGCTACCGAGAAACCCTGTCTTGAAAAACAAAAACAAAAAATAATAGTAATAATAATAAATACAGTTTTTTAAGAAGAAAAACCACACATTTAGCTTTATTGTCTTTTTCTTTGAATGTTGCAGGCTGGGTAAATACCCTGGTTGGTGGACAAAAGGAAGGCGCCCGGGGTTTTATGTTTTTCATCATCAATGTAGACTTAACTGAAGAAGGGTTGTGTAAGTATTGGTTGGGTTTATTTTGTAATTCCTCATGCCATAGGTTTGCTTTGTGTTGAAAAGGCATAAACACTTTAGTTTATACACTTTCTCCATTGTATTTTTCATGTGTAACTTGGCCTCTGTTTGTGACAATCCTTACCCCTTAACAGTTGATTTTGTGTTTTATTGGTAAAGTGCATACTTGTCTGTTCTCCCATATTTGTGAGTCCAGAGGGCTGTGTGGGATGTCTGAACCAGACTCAGGGAAGTGAGGACTCCGAAGGGCTGTGTGGGATGTCTGAACCAGACTCAGGGAGGTGAGGACTCCGGAGGGCTGTGTGGGATGTCTGAACCAGACTCAGGGAGGTGAGGAGTCCATTTTCTGAAAGAGACCACCTCCACTGGCCTGACTTCTCCTAGGAGTGATCCATGGTTGAAGGACTCAAGGACTGAATGGTTTTTAAGTGTGCCCCTTTTTTCCAGTACATGTTGAAGATATAATTTTGCACATGTTTCAATACATTCAGAAGCTACGTGCAGAAGGACCTCAAGAATGGGTTTTCCAAGAGTGCAAGGTACTTTTGTTTCACCAAAATTTTTCTTAAGGAATCTATTTTTCAAAAACAAATATATGTGAACTAATTTAACTTTAAGGCCCAGTTAAACTTTTGTGTTTCCCTAAAGTCTGAATGTTGCAATGCATAGCTGTATTAGTTAAAACTTAGGTATGGCAGACTGCTTTGTTAGTTGGGGCGCTATTTAGGGTTGAGTTATCACATAGTCCCTGGAGGAGAGCCCGACCTTTCCAGGGTTTGTGCTACTTTCTGCCCGAAGCTGCACGAAGTCTGTTGTTTTCAGATCTGGTAATAAAGCTCTACAGTGAATGCTATGAGAAACAATAAGTTGTTTCATGTATAATATTATGTTCTTCAAAGTGATTTTATTATCTGCGTAGAAAAGCTTCCATTTCCCTTCCATCCCCCTTTTTTGAGACAGGCTCTCATTATGTAAACCAGGCTGGCTTCGAACCCACAGAACTCTCTACTGGTGCCTCTTCCTCCCAGGTGCTGGGATTAAAGGCGTTCACCACCATATCTGGCTTTTTTTGTTTTTAATATATAAAACATAAAGTGTTTGTCTTTCAAATTTTATTTATTATTTTATTTTTATTTATTATTATTTTTCTTTTTCTTTCCTGGAACTAGCTCTTGTACACCAGGCTTGCCTCAAACTCACAGAAATCTGCCTGCCTCTGCCTCTCTAGTGCTTGGTCTAAAGGCATGCGCCACCACTGCCTGGCTTATTCTTCCTCTTCCTCTTTCTCCTCCTCCTCCTCCTCCTTCTCCTCCTCTTCCTCCTCCTCCTCCTCCTCCTCCTCCTCTTCTTCTTCTTCTTCTTCTTCTTCTTCTTCTTCTTCTTATTATTATTATTATTATTATTATTATTCTGAGAGGGGGTTTCTCTGCATAGGCCTGGCTGTCCTGGAACTTACTCTACAGGTCAGGCTGGCCTTGAACTCAAGAGCTCTGCCTGCCTCTCCCTTCTAAGAGGCAGGGACTAAAGGTATGTGCCACCACACCACCCTGCTGTCTTTCAAATTTCCAAAGTCTTTTTAAAAGGGCTATTAAGAAAATACTTTATATATAAAGACCTCTCAAAATTCTGAAATAAATTTTGGATTGGGTAACTTTTTCCCTCTGGTGCTGGGGATCAAACGCTATACTTTGTGTGTGTTAGGCAAACACCATCGCACTGAGCTATATCCCAGCCTGGAAAATATCCTATTAAACTTTATAAAAATTTATAATTATTGCTTGTGGAAATTATGACAATAATTTCTAATGTATAGATTTTCTTTGAACAAGTCTCCAAATCATCATCTGTCATTACCTGTGGGATTTTTGGATTTCACAGGTTGTACACAGTTTTTGATGTCTTGACCAATCGTTTTAGTGATTTAGGCAGTAGAACCTTTTTTTGTTTTGTTTTGTTTTGTTTTTAATGCTGTGCCATTTAGGCCAGCCTTGAATATGATCCTCCTGCTTCAGCCTCATTCCAAACCTGTGCAGTCATGCCTCGGTCTGGCTCCTCTCAGGTTACATTCATTTAGAATTATTTACTTATTTTTATTTTAAGCCTGTGTTGATAAATTTTAAGTTTTTTTCATGTCTTAATACATTCCTAAATAAAGTTCTGCTAGTTGTTCATAAGTGTAATGATGATACAATTATAGTTTAAATAAAGTATTAAAAATGCACTTCTGGCTGATAATTGGCTTATGTCTAATTGGTTAACTTTCTGTTTTAGGACTTGAATGCTGTTGCTTTTAGATTTAAAGATAAAGAGAGACCTCGAGGCTATACATCCAAGATTGCAGGAAAATTGCATGTAAGTTGATTTTCCTGTTCACAGTGGTGTGTATGATCTTTAGACTCCTATATGTTAATATAGTACTACACAGATGATACAGTTGGGACTCATAAAAACAGACATTTTAGCTCTGGCAACCTTTCATGATATGTTTAGAATATTACTGCTCCTTAAACTAAATATCACCCTCTGTAGTATTTTTATTACATGAGTGTTTCTCGGGTTTTTTGTTTGTTTTTTTGTTCCCCGCCCCCGCCCCCCCCCAGTCCCACAACCTCTGTCAAGTGCTCCCTCTGCAAACATTTTTATCATCAACTTTCCCCACTTGCCTTGTTCCTGCTTTAGTCTGGGCTGCTGTCATTCCTTACCGTGCTGCTAGCATGGCCTCTTAGCTCCGTTTTTCACTTTGTTCTCCACCATAGTTTACTTTTCTAGCTTCAGTGACTTTTTTTAAGGCATGCAGCGGCCACTGTGCGGTCCACACAATCTCAGTGTTTTAGAAAGTACTTTTTGTTTGTTTGTTTGTTTGTTTGTTTTCTTGTTTTTCGAGACAAGATTTCTCTGTGTAGCTTTGGAGCCTGTCCTGGTACTTGCTCTGTAGACCCAGCTGGCCTCAAACTCACAGAGATCTTTCTGCCTCTTCTTCTTGAGTACTGGAATTAAAGATGTAAGCCACCACCACCCAGCTAGAAATTACTTTTACTAAAACAATGACAAAACCATCTATAATAGTTTTATACACAAGCCAAAATATAGTCCATTTCTTTCTACAATTTTGTAAATGTTTGTTTAATTTCATACATAGAAATTTGAGAGAAAATTGTTTATAAAAATGTGTGCACTATATTAAAAATCCTGTAGGTGTCTATTTCATTTTCAATTTTTCTTCATTAGCAAATACCAATTTTTAAACAGAACTATTGTATTTTTCCTCAAAAGAAATATATAGCCAGGTGTGGTGGCTCATGCTTGTAGGGGACTGAGGTAGGATGTTGGGTTCTAGGCTAGCCTGGGCTACAGACTAAGCTATTACCTTCCTACCCCATCAAAAAACAGTGATTTGTTACCTCAGTAATATAAGTATATATGAAGATTGACAGTGTGCTTGGCAGAACCATCGCATCGTGAAACTTAAGAATGTGGCAGGTTGGGCCAGGGGTATCCGCGGAAGGGTCTGCTGTGTTTGCACAAGACCCTGGTGTAGTCTCCAGCACTGTAGAAGATAAGGGTGTGGTAGGCAACAGAGTAACGTTTAGGGCCACAAAGTGATTATTATCAATGGAATAAAACAAACTGAAGGGAAGGGCTGTATAAAATAATAAACTTAGTTTTTAGAAATCTGCCTATATTAATAGACTCTGGGATAGCCTTCACGTCTAACTATTTATACCTTCCATTTTCACAGTATTATCCCCTAAATGGAGTGCTCACAGCTGAATATCTGCTGGAAGAATTTAGACCCGACTTGATAGACATGGTTCTTGATAAGCTCAGACCAGAAAATGTCCGGTGAGTCACCTGCAGATTTTCCTATTACACACTAAGCTTTTCTCATAATTAGAATCTCAGAACTCACAATTGTGATTAAAAAGCTTTTATTTCTATTTATTTATTTTTGAGACAGGCTCACATTATGTGACCTTGGGTGGCCTGGAGCTCACTATGTAGACCAGGCTGGCCTCAAACTCAGAGACATGCCTGCCTGTTTTCAGAGTGCTGGGACTAACGGTGTGCACCCCATGCCTTTGAACGTGTTCAGTCTTTACAAGCCTGTTGCGATGGTTCTCACCCATGATTCCAGTGCTTGGGATGCAGCCATTCAAGGCCAGCCCAGTTACTCATTTTGAGGCCAGTTTGTGTTACATAAAAGCTTGTCTCAAAATATAATATAAAATTGACTGCAAAAGTAGAGAATAGTCTAATGAACCAACACCAACCCACCTCTCTTCATTCACCCTCTCTGCAAGTTCAGTGATAGAAATGACATAAAAGACAATAAACATTCCAGGACAGGCTCCAAAGCTACAGAGAAACCCTGTCTCGGAAAAAAAAAAAAAAAAGAAAGAAAAGAAAATAAACATTCCAGGACAGGCTCCAAAGAAAAGAAAAGAAAAGAAACAATTGGTTTTCACTAGGTGGGGCGTACAACAGTAATGGACACACGCAGGTGTCCCACCAGGAGGGGCGTGCAACAGTGGTGCACATATGCAGGTGTCCTCTCACCAGCACACCTCTGACATTGTCCATCTGGAGCTAGATGTAGTTGAGTGTTTTATTTAGTAATGAAATGGAGAAAATACAGATTATTATCAAGCTTTGTTAAGGGTTAATACAATGCTTTAGTTTTTAATTTAAAAAACTCATTAAGAGTCGAAGTTTTTCATCTTTGCGAATGAAAATAAGCTATGTGACCATACAGAAATTAAATCTGTTTCATGTAGCCAATCACAACAAATTATAGTATGTCTTGTGTTCAGTTTTGTGTTTATTTTTGAGATTTATTTTGATTTAATTTGTATGTGCCACATGTGTGTGGGTGCCCTTAGAAGTCAGAGGGCATTGGATCCCCCGGAACTGGAGTTCCAGGCACTTGTGAGTCACCCAGTGTGGGTGCTGGGAACTCGGGTCCTCTGGAAGAGCTGCAAGTGCTCTTAGCCTCTGGGCTCTCTCCAGCCCGTTTTGTTTTTTTTTGAAAGAAGAGGTCTCACTTTATAGCCCTGACTAGCTTCAAAACTACATCGATTCTTCCACCTCTGCCTCCTAGAAACTGGAATTACAGGAGTGCATAACTACACCAGTCTTTGTTTTTTTAAGACAAACTCCCATAGTCCAAGGTGGATAAACCTGAACTCTTAAGCCTCCTTTCTTCAACTCCCAGATGTGAGATTACAGGTGTACGCCCCCACAGTGACTCCCAGTCAGTTTTATTGCCATAGTTGTTGTCTAATCCTTAATTACTCAATATCTGATTATAATATGGAAAATCTTACTCAAAAACTGGATGTTAATGGAAGCTAACATCTGTGGGCTATCACTCCCCTCTGACAGCATTGCCTTCAGCGTAAAATAATTTACTTAAATACTGAAGAATGGAAAAGTCCAGAACTTTCCATTTTTTGTCAGCGAATAATAAAGTTGACAGTCGATCCTGAAGTAAACAGTCGCTCATTCCTAGATGGGATGCGACAGAGTCCGCATGGTTCATGTGCTGTCAAGTGACGCGTCACAAGTGCAGGCTGAGGGTTGGTCTCCTGGACGCATTTCTGCATATAGCAAGGGAGAAAACGAGGAGGTTAAAATAGTTATAACAACAACCAAGCCAGCTGGGCAGTGGTGGCGCTCGACTTTAATTCCACAGGCAGGCAGATGTACAGGGCAAACTCCAAGACAACCAGGGCAGCACAGAGAAACTCTGGAAAACCAAAAACCAAAAAGCCAAGCAAACAAAGCAGTAAAATACTTAGGAGTTTAACCAAAAGAAAACAAGACCTCTCCAAAACATCTGGGTGTGCTGACAAGTTTGAGGCCAGCCTGACACAAAACAAACAAACAAAACAAGCAAACAAGAAGAATATACAGGCCCCCCATGGGTATCAGCAAGCAAACATCCTGGTAACCTGGTATCCAGCCTGGTAACCTGGATTTGATCCCAAGGTGGAAGAAAAAACTGCATCCCCAAAGTTGTTCTCTGATCATGCATGCACAAGGTAGTATGTGTACCCACACACATACCCTTGAAAACCCGTGATTTAAATAGCATTTGCTTGTCATACCAACGTTTTTAGACGTGAACGTGCTGGAGTCGGTGTTTTACTTTTGATTAAATTGCATGTTTCTAAATTTGATGTCTCGTGCAATTAGACTTTAAGAGACTCCTTTTCCTCTTATCGTCGCTTTGAAGGAAAGTGTTTTTCCTGTGGAGGCTTAGACTCTGTGATTGCTCTCATCATAACTGTGGCAGGTCACTCAGGAAGTGCAGAACAGCTGGGATAATCTTGCCAGCTGCCAGGCGAGAACTGTATTACTCAAAGGTACAATTACTTTTTAAATCCCAGTGAGACAAGTGTAACATTGCAACCAGGAAAGGAATTCCTCAGAATGTGAGAGGTTGTTGGGTGCAGCCCACCAGTCTGTAGCTTACGTTGTATCACTTAGGTATTTACTGTCCTAGCTCTAAGTTCCACCGATAATGGAACTCATTAAGTATTAAGGTAGAGAGACATTTCTTTGTAGTGTTACTGTTTGCTGGTCCATGGGTATTAACTGTTTCTACTCTCCTTTATGCCTTTGATGTGTTTATCATTCCATCTTGATGCAGCAGGAGTATCTTTACTGTGTGCCTAGCTCAAATCATAAGTGATTCTATTAATTTGGGAGTTGTTATTCATGATGAATCTAATCAAGGCCTGTCTTCTAGTTGCTACCAGTCTTCACCATTGGCTGTAGAATTCTGTCAGTAGTCTGCTTAAGTCACTGGCTTATGGTGTTCAGGGTCTGTTCCTTTCTCTTTATAAACACAGGTATTTGCCCTTCTCTAGTGTTCTGTCTCTTTTCATATCCTTCAACCTTTCCAAAAGAAGATGAGCCGATGACTTTGTTAGTTTATTACTTCTTCGCGTGTCATGGAACATGCGCACTTGTGTGTGGAGCTGTGGCTTCATCTGACTCACATGGATTGCCTATCCTGAGCATCAGCGCTTTCTTTGTTTTTGGTTCACTGGCACAATGTAAAGATCCATGGTGTTTCCAAAGATAATTTAGTAATACAGGCATTGTCTCCTTTAACATGAGATTAGCACACTTTGCTTTAGGCCATGTGTTCTCTTAGAAGTTTCCTTTAGGTAGAAACTGTGTTTATCTTTTCATAATTCAAGCTGGTGTGGTAGGGGTTCAAGAAAAGCTGACCGAATGTTCCTCGGGCTTTTAGCCTCATTTTATTCTTTCTTTCTTAGTTTAAGTAATTCCTTCTTAGTTTCAGAAACACATATAGTGGCTGGAGTGAGGATTCAGTGGTTAATAAAATGCACAACACAGAGAGAGATGTGTGGACGTGGGCACACTCACACCTGTGCATGTGTGCGCACACACACGATTCAGCGTTTTTCGTAAGTCTGGGTTTCCTCAGCACTTGCCTTTTGCTGTTGTTGTTTGATTTTGTTTTGTCAATAGAATTTTGGTTTGTATGTTTTGCACTTTTATCTTTTGTGTATATCTTTAAAAAATCTAATTTGAGGGGTTGAGGGTGTAGTGTAGGCTAGTGCATGTACTTCACATGTGCAAAGTCCTGGGTGTAATTCTAGTATTAGCAACAAACAAAAATCTAATTTGTTATGAAATTGTAAGAGTCTGCTAGTGAAAGAATAAAGTTAGTCTAATTTGAATCTTTTGGATCAGAAAAGCAGAACAGCCAAGCCACTAGAGAGACCTTTTACCTTCACCAGATCTTCAGATGGAAGGGGCAAGATTCTGTCTCCAGCAATTCTCAGACTCCACCCTCCAGTGACTTCCTGTTTCTTCCCCTTTATATTCCTCTCTCCACCCAGCCAGTTCGCTCCTGTCTCCCAAACACTGGGATTAAAGGTGTGAACTACCATCACCTGGATCTGTTTCTGGATTGATCATGTGTAGCCCAGGGTAGACTTGAACTCACAGAGATCTGGTTGCCTTTGTCCCCCTAAGTGCTGAGATTAAACATGTGTGCCACCATTCCCCGCCCTGTGTGGCTGATTTGTGTGACTGCTTTGCCCTCTGATCTTCAGTCAAGCTTGATTTATTAAAACACAAATAATATGCCACTATACTCATTTTCTTTTTTATTTTCTCTCAGACATTATTTGCAAAAGACTGATATTCTCATGTCAGGGGATGACATGAGAAGTCATCCCCTGGAAACTACACTGTCTTTTCCTATCTGTAGTCAGGAAACCTTTGTTTCCAGATGGTTCCCCTCCAGTGCTGCATTCCCAGTGTCACAGCTAGCCTGCTTTCCAGCCTTCTTTTCTTACCCCCCTTTATTAAACATAGATTCTTTTGTCATACAATATAATCTGAATACAATTTCCCCTTCCTCTACTACTCCTGGTTCCTCCCCTCCTCCTCTCCCATCCAGACCTACTCTCTGTCCATCTTCTGTCTGTCATTAGAAAAAACAGACTTCTAAGAGATAACAACAAAACACAGCAAAATAAAATATGATAAGATAAATGAGAACCATGTGTTGAAGCTGGATAAAATAAGCCAATAGAAAAATAAAAGAGCCCCAAGAGAAGGGCCTAGAATCAGAGACTCACTCATTTACATGTCCAGGAGTCTGGCTGTGGGTATCTCTATTTGTTCCCATATGCAGGAGGAAACCCCTCTGATGATGGCTGAGTAAGGCATGGATCTGTGAGTACAGCAGAATATCATTAGGAGTCATTTTATATCATCATCATCATCCCAATAGTATTTTGGTTTTGCCCTAGGTCTCTGGGCTATCTAGCATCTGGTTCTTGGTCACCCAAGCAGTGTCAGGTATGAGTTCCATCTGACGGAATGGGCCTTAAGACAATCAGACATGTGTTGGGTACTACCACAAGGTTTATGCCACCATTGCCTAGCATACTTTGTAGGTAGGACAGATTGTAGATCAATGATTTTATGGTTGGATTTACATTTCTCTTTAGGTGGCCTGCAGAGTACCTATCCATATCATAGACACTAGACACCAGCTCTCTCTCTTTCAGTGTTCATTGAGTTGTGTGGGTGTCTTGCTGTCAGCTTGTGGAAAGCAGCCTATTGACTTGGCAATAGCCTAGGTTGTTTGGGGGTTTCCATGGGATCCTTTCAGACAACTCAACTGGATAAAACCAGTCTCAGAACTGAAAATTTCGTTTAGTGACAAAAGATGGCTAGGAGAGGTTGCGGCTCCCTCCTTGTCTGTAGACTTCACTAGGATCACCTTTATATGTTATAAGCAGTTCCCAGGCTAACCCTTGTTTTCTCCCTCGATCCCATCTCTCCTCCGCCCACCTTCCTGCCTGGTCCTCCCAGCCTCACACCCACCACTTACCGAGGAACTTTGGAGTCAGTTCTCCCGTCCACTGTTGCGCGGTTCCCGGGATCAAACTGTTAGGCCTGTGGGGCAGGTTCCTCTGTCTGCTGAGCTATCTTGCAGACCCTTGGGAGGCTCTTGATTTGTCAGCATCCTTCATTGCCTTGTGGGCATCGTGCAGAACTCTTTGTTCTGTGGAATATGTTTCTTCTTTTTTAGCTTATTTTCCAGAAGTGGTAGTGGTCAGTGACGGGCTGTTGGTCTTGGTGTTTACACACCAGGAGGAACTAGGACAAGGCCCAACACATTCTTGAACATTATTTACGTTTTCATGAGTCAGAGTCCATTCACATTTGTACCATAAGTTTACAGGCTTGCTTCTGTTTGTTTTCTCCCTCTGTCTCTAGGGTGGCAATAGTTTCCAAATCATTTGAAGGGAAAACTGACCGCACAGAGCAGTGGTACGGAACCCAGTACAAGCAAGAAGCCATCCCAGAGGAAGTCATTCAGGTAGGTTTACGTCATCTGTGAATAAGCCTGAGCTATGAGGAGCCTCGGGAACCCAGATCCCCTCGATCCTTCCACGCAGGTTCCAGAGCATGGAGAGTGGTGGGCACCGCCACCCTTGCTGCCCTGGGAAGAGTCAGAGGAACTGGAGGCTTCTCATGAAGCCTCGTGCTCTGGCTCCTTCCCGTGTGTTTATAAACCGCAGACACCCAGCCTTGCTGCATCTAAGCCGTGAAGAGTGGGGAACGCAGTTGCACAGAGCCAGGAAGGCAAGGGACCGGAAGACAGGGCAAGCTGCGGAGGGCCAGCTGCGCTGCCGCAGTCCTGGCGAGGGCTCGCAGTCCTGGCTGGGGCTCAGCGGCTTTACTTTCTGCTAGCATTATGTTTTGCCCTCATTGGTCACTCTTTTTTCAACCTAGGAGAACTGTGATTTATTTCCAGGTAGTTGTGCTGAGACTTCATTCTCCCAGTTTTTCGAGGCTTTGCTTAGCTGAGTAGAATCTTTTTCTCTCTTGCTTGTTGGCTGTGGACCCTTGTTTCGGTCCATTACCAACAGTACCAGAAAACCTTAAAGTAATGATTTTTTTTATTTCAATGACAGTACAGGAAAAGAAATATTTTTTCCATTTTTATTTTATTGTGTGTGGATTATATGTATATGGAGGTCAGAGGACAACTTTGTATGGTCAGCTCTCTCCTTCTGGCTCCACACGGGTATCCAGGCTGGTGTGGCCAGTGCTTACATCTCTGTCCTAAAAAAAGCAATAATGTAAGAAAAAATTATCACTGATGCTTCAGGGAGCTCTGACACTTTGATGCCCTCCAGGATGTGACTAAATCCATATTCTTAAACTGAAGAAAATTCAGCTTTTTTCAGTCAGTCCTGGGGCTGAAATAACCTGAAAACAAGGAGAACCTCTGTTTACCACATTATGACTATAGCAGTCTTGCCCTGGAGAATTCTTCTTAAGTTTATCTGGAAGTTCAGCAGTGAGATGGCTTGCTATGTGTTTTCTGTCCTCCCCTCTGCCTTTCTGGAGACACACTGCAGCTTAAATACTCTCGTCAACATCTCAACTCTCCCCGTGCCAAAAGACCACATGTGTCAACTAGCTGACAAGTGACCGGATCTGGGGTTATCGGCACTGGTTTGCCCCTTTGGGTTGTCAGTAATAAAAGCCTGTTTAGTTGTGAGCCTGAGCTTTAGTTGTGACCCATCTCTCCAGCCAGCGCAGTGTTGTCAAGTAGGGTTCTGGGACCTGTCCAGCTTCGCTGGTAGAGCCAGTTCGTGTGTCGTTCTTGACCTAGATCTGGTCTTTGTTTTAACCTTGTCTTGAATTGCTGGCTTACCTAATAGTTTGCATGTTCTGAAAGAAATGGGCCAGGCCTTAAGAAGCCTGAAGTGATGGGCTGGTGAGAGTGTTCCGTGGACTGGTGAGAGTGTTCCTGGGCTGGTGAGTGTGCTCTGTGGACTGGTGAGATTGCTCCGTGGGCTGGTAAATGTGCTCCTGGGATGGTGAGTGCTCCTGGGATGGTGAGAGTGCTCCTGGGCTGGTGAGATTGATCCGTGGGCTGGTATGTATGCTCATGGGCTGACGAGAGTGCTCCTGGGCTGGTGAGTGTGCTCTGTGGGTAAAGGCACTTGCTGCCAAAGCTAGGGTCCAGTCCCCAGAATCTACCTGGTACGTGGAAGATGATCCCTACAGCCTGTCCTCCGACCTCCACATAGGCAGTGTGTGGTGTGTGTGCAGCTGCATACAAAATAAATAAGGGGGGGAAAATAAGTACCAAGGTAGAAGAAGCCCCCAATTAGCCTGGCCTTCAGACTATAAATAGAGGCAACAATATAATGAAAGTATGGATTTAAATATCCCTGTGTAGGTGCTTAATTTTTAAAGAACTACAGTAGATATGATCCCATCAGCTTCTCTTTGTTCCACAGACTCGGATTTTTCTTTAACTAGCTGATTAGAAGCTGCAGAAAGAAGAAAAAAAATTATATAGATAAATGTAAAACCTCTTTTAGTACCAGAAAGATAAGCTGAAGTTACATGAAAATCCATCAGCATCCATTGCTTCTGGTTGTAGCCCCTCCATATCTGACAGGAGAATGCTCCTTCCTGTTTGCTTGCAGATAGCAAGGACACCATTTTTTGTTGTTTGTAGTTGGGTCTCCTTATGTAGCCCTGGCTTGCTGAGAAGTCAGCCAGGCTGGTGTCTCGCTGGGGATCCTTCTGCCTCTGCTTCCCAAGTGATAGGATTACAGAGTGGAAGAACCATGTGCTCAGGGAGCACTTACCGTTGCTTTGCAGTGTGATGCTGAAGATCAAACCAGGGGATAGCCTCAGCCCAAAGATGGTATTTTTAACTCAGGTTATATTCATAATTGCTTTTGTGTGTGTTTTATTATTCATCTAGAGGTGGCAAAATGCCGAATTGAATGGGAAATTTAAACTTCCAACAAAGAATGAGTTTATCCCTACAAATTTTGAAATTTTGTCATTGGAAAAAGATGCGACGCCATACCCTGCTCTTATTAAGGTAATGAGCTGAATCTGTGTTTGTTTGTTTATGATGGGGTTTTCTTCTTACGTTACCCAACTCTTAGGGCTCAAGTGATCCTCTTTCTTGCCTTCACCCCTGAGTTTCTTGAGTTGTAGGCGTATACTAGCATACCACATAGCCAGTGGTTGTAATTTAAAGGTCAGCAGAACTATTAAATGGAGAAATAGAGAGAGGTCATTTCTTATATTTGGTACTTTGTGGGTTTAGGATTTGTCACTCCTATGAGGTGACAGAAATGCTGTAAAAGAATACAAGAAATACTCTGAAGTTAAAAATACAACAGCAAACAAAGCTGCTAAATAACATAGACTATGGATTGCTTTGTTGTAGGAGAAAAGGTCAGGGCTCTTCTGGATGGTAAGTCTGTTGAAAGGTCCCCTTTCTACCCAGTAAAGATCTGGTAAAGAAATGGCTCTGTGCCACTTCATGCAGGGTCAGAAGCCTGGAGGAAAGCCTGTTTGAGGGAGGTCCCAAAACGTAAAGGTTCTGATTCAGACACAGTGACTGCACGGAGCTCTTGTAGTTACAAGTCAGGGAAGAGTGACTGTCAGGGCTCCCCTCCTTTTTCAGAATGTTCTTTTCATGTCATTATTTCACTCCATGGATAAAGTATGTAAAAATTTGCAGCATATTCTTGGTTCTAAACTTGTACACTAAAACTCATGATAGTAGACACTGCCTTCCATTGTTTTTCTCTTCCCGTGACCTAATACCCAGATGAAGTGGGTAAGACAAGAGTCATTGTTTAGGAACATGAAATTTAGTTTATCTTAATAGGTTATTAATGAAATATCTGTTTTTCCTTTAAGGTAATTTTAATGAATTATGATTAAGAAAAGGAGAACTGTTTTTTATTAATTGCCTCTTTGGGGTGGAGGTGTTAGAGACTGAGCACAGGCTGTGCTCAGATTCAGCCCACACTCTACTACTGCCCTATAATCTCATTGTTTGTTTGTACAGTTCTGGGGCTTGAGCCCAGGGCATTGCATATGCTAGGCAAAAACTCTACCACTAAGCTATGCCCTTAGACCTTGTGTTTTAGATAGGGATTTGCTATTGTAGCTCAGGCTAACCTTGCATCTGATGTAGCTAAGACTAGCCTCCTCAGTTCTCCCTAGCATTCTGAATTCTGGCATTGCAATCATGCCCCTATGCCTGGCTGAACTGTTTTAAATGTTTTATCAGAGTAAAGTGCTGAGCACATTAAATTGTTTTTATCTCTTGAACAGTTTCAAGGTTTAAAATGAACACTTGAGAGCATTCTTGGTATAGAACAGATGAAATAAGTTTTTATTAGATTATTTATCTTAGTGTGCTTTTTACTGCATAAACATTATTCTAAAACTTACCAGCTTCAAAACCACACACATCTTTTTAAAAGTCAGATAAAACCACAAGATACATTTTCTGAGGGCTAGGGGTCTGAAGGACAGGGGTCGGTAGTTCTGGTTCAGGTTCTATAATGAGGTTATGGTTGAGGTTTCTTCTAGGACTTTGTTCCTGGGAAGGCTAAAATAGGGCTGAAGAATTCTCTCCTAGGCTCAATTTTGTGATTGTTAATAGACCTTAGGTCTTCAGCATGTAGACTTCTCAACTCAGTAGAGTTGTTTGACATGGCAGCTGGCTGTCCCCAGATGATTGACTGAAAGGGGACTGTAGTGGCCAAGGTCTTACATTGTAGGAGCCAAAGTCTTTTTTAAAGATTTTTATTTATTATGTATGCAGTGTTCTGCCTGCATATATGCCTACTTGCCAGAATAGGGCACCAGATCTCATCACAGGTGATTGTGAGCCACCATGTGGTTGCTGGGTCCACAGGTCCTCAGGTCCTCAGGAAGAGCAGTCAGTGCTCTTAACCTCTGAGCCATCTCTCCAGTCCCCATGGGAGCCAAAGTCTTATAGTTGAATCTTGGGGGATAGAGTACCCCTGAGTCTGTGGTTTCCTGTCAGTTAGGCAGGCTAACTTGGACTATACATGGGTCCAACAGGGTTGTGGATCACCCTAGAAGCTGACTGACACATCTATCGAAAAGATGTCCTGGGCCTCTTGGGCACCCAGTGTCCAAAAAGACTGTGTCAGAACAGTTGGTACTGATGTCTCCTCCACCATGCTCTTATGTCCCCATTCAAGGGTCATAGAGAGCTGGCTTCTCTGCCACAAGGACTGGCAATCTTCTCTCTGTTCTGCTTGCTAACCTGGGTGCTTCAGGACTGTGGGACAGCAGCAACCTTCAGAATAATGTCCTTTGCCCCTCAACTTGAAGAGTATTTTGAACAAATGCTTATATGAAAGATACCTCTTTTTCCCTAATGAAACTGTTTCTCTGTCACAGGATACAGCCATGAGTAAGCTGTGGTTCAAGCAAGATGATAAATTTTTCTTGCCGAAAGCTTGTCTCAACTTTGAGTTCTTCAGGTATGTAGTTAAATCCAACTTAGGAAATCAACAATCATGTTTTTGTTGAGTGTTCTCTTCTTAAGCATCTATTTTTGAAATAATAAGAATTCGATTTCTCCTATACAAGAAAAGGTTGCTAAGAAGCGCTGAAAATCAAAGTTAATTCTTCCTTGCATTAATGAATGTTCCCTTTTGCTGAATTGATTTATGGTAACTCTTATTAAGAGGGTCTTCTTAGCATTTGGGATTTGGGAATCTGTAAGAGCCTATAGATTTATCCAGAAGGTTCATTTAGGAAAGAATTATTAGTTGAAATGTTTTTGTTCAATTTTTCCAATTCCTGAAACTTGCCCAGAGACATATGTGTATGAACAAATGAATAGGTGTGTGTATGTGCCCAGGGATGTGTGCATGTGTGCATAAATAAATACATATTTATGTGTGTAAATGTATACATGAATGTGTTTATACACACAAAGAGAAGGGAGGTGGGAATTTGTTTTGTTTTGTTTTGTTTTTTGACATAAAATCTCAAAACCATACCTCATGTAACGATGTTTGTCTTTTAGAGAGGTCCATGCCATGAGCCTTCTAACAATTGCAGAGTTGACCTTCAAGGTCTGGTTTCCCCTTCAGAAGAGTAAAGCCCAGAGTGCGCCTTGACTCTCACCTCATCACAGACCTTGCACCAGGGCCACTAGATTGCCTCAGACACGTGTGCCTTTTATGGTTAAACGTTAGTGGCTTTAACTGCTAAATCTTAGAATGCTTTAAAATAATGTAAAAATACACACAGTCTAGCTATTCTGCCTTAGCCTTAGCGTTGGGATTACAGATGTTCACTACCAAACCTGATGCATACTATAATTTTATATTTTTAAAACCAATGTTCTTATAAAAAAGTGAATTTATCATTAGGCGGTGGTGGCACATCCCTTTAATCCCAGCACTTAGGAGGCAAAGTCAGGCGGATCTCTGTGGGATTGAGGCCAGCCTGGTTTACAGAGTGAGTTCCAGGGCAGCCAGGGCTACACAGAGAAACCTTGTTTTAAATAATGTGAGAGACAGAGAGAAACTGTATGTGTATGTTGTGTGTGTGTCTTTTTCATCTTTCCAGAAATAGGATTAAATTATGTATACTTTATGTTACATTAAATTATGTATACTTAAAAAAAATCACAATTTTTAAGATCCTATAAACCTGTATGAAGGTTAAACACCCTGTATGAAGATGCATAGTGTCTGAATATAGTATATTTGTGCCAGAATTTGCATATTTCAGTGGAATCATATCTCTTAAACATATTTTTTTTGGCCTATCCAGTGTTCTGCACACATAGTTGTGTGACTTGGTATTTTAGGACATTTGTAATTCTTTTCTAAGCTTGAGTCAGATGGCATTGGACCACCAGTCCTGGCACTACTGATTTTGAGCCCCACCTGACGACGTTCCAGTTGCCAAACATGTGGCCATGACTTTGTCGTGGCCTTACTTTCCTTTTGATGAGCTAGCTCGCCTCAGTCTTTTTCTCTTTCACCACACCCGCCTCCCTGGGTGGGGTGGGGTGTGTGGTTGGGGTGTGGTGTGGTCCGGTGTGGATGATGTGTGCATGAGATGGCTTAAGTTTAAAGTTGTTCAGTGCCTAAAGGACGTTTGTCACTGTATGCAGTACTGTAGGAAAATTAAATCACAGTCAGAGAGATGACTTAGCCTACCGGTAAAGGTGTTGCCACCAAGTCTGACAATTTGAGTTCAGTCCCTGGGACTGATGGCAGGAGAGAACCAGCTACCACAAACTGACTTCTGAAGTATATATGTTGCATATAATAGATGATAGATGTGTGCACAGATAGATGAAGTATATATGTTGCATATAATAGATAATAGATGATGTGTGCACAGATAGATGAATGTGTGTTTTAAAAGAGAGAATTAGATGGCAGCCTCCATTTAGGTTTTTCTCTTTGAATTTAATTTCCCAAGTGCCTAAGCATTTTCTCTATATTTTGATTTATTATTAGCTTGGATAAAATAGTTGGCATTGCTCTCAGCCCATCATGTGTAGTGCAGTACAGTCACTGCTACAGGAGAGTCAAACCTTTTCTTTGCTTCCAGTAAGGCAGAAAGCACAGGCCTAGGGTCTGGAGCAGCAGTATGGAGAAATTTTCCCTCCCCGGCCCCTCCCTGTTCTCCTTACACTGCTTCTCATCCCATAACCCGACCGCCACCTGGCGCGTTAGACTTGCGCTTACCACCATCTCCTCCAGTTCAGCTGTGAGCCCTGAGCGCTCGGGGGATTTTTGCCTGGTTCCTCCTCATGTGCTGTCCGTACCCAGAGAGAGTCCCTATAGTGAGCTTGTAGGGACTCATGCTGCCAAATGCATGGCTCTTTCCTTGGTGCTGATAGAGGTGAGCAGTGTTGAATAGGCAACTAAGTAGGTCGTTTAACTTTGGTTTGAATCCCAAACTCAGGTGCTACCAGCCCAGGTGCCCTGGGGACAATAGCTTCCTGACTGAGAGATTAAAGTTGATATCTGGTTCTCTTTGACTGCTACATGTTTTCCTCTCTTTTCGTACACTCTCACATACATATTTTCATACTGTAATTTTTTCTAATCCTAGCTGCAGTTAGTTCTGTGATAAACTTTATTAAAGTTCTGATAGTACTCTAGTTCTGTGGATTACAGGTAAGGTAATATTTTCACAATTCTTTCCAATCTTTCTCTTTTAAGACCATATGGTTAGAGCACTCAGGTTTCCCAGCCTCATATTTCTGAACTTTACAAGTGTAGCTTGCTTGGAGAGAGAAGAGATGCTGTATCGACTCATCAGCCTTGCCTTCTCCCGGCGGCTGAAGGACGGCCATGCTCTTTAACCTTTTCATCTTCTCACCTGCCTTTCCTTTCCAGCTAGTTGGGTAGCCTATGGCAGCGGTTCTCAACCTGTGGGCCACAACCCTTTCACGGGGGTCACGTATCAGATATCCTGCATGTCAGATATTTACATCACGATTCATAACAATTTAACAATAGTAAAATTCAGTTATGACGTAGCAACAAAATAATTTTATGATTGGGAGGGTCACCACAACATGAGGAACTGTGTTAAAGGGTCGCAGTGTTAGGAAGGTTGGGATCACTGCCCTACACTATCTGAGGTAATCAGTTCTCCTCACCGTCATCAGTGCACACATGCAGCGTGTCTCTGATGTCTTCTTAGACCCTTTTCTCCTCATGGCAAAAAAGGAACCGGTTCAAGAATTGAGCCATGCCCTCAGGAAATGATAGAACCGGTACTCGCTCTCTCGCCTGCCCAAGGCCGCAGCCCCTGGGAAGTGACAAACCGCTCTTTCACTGTCCGCGTTCTCTTCCAGCCCTTTTGCTTATGTGGACCCCTTGCACTGTAACATGGCCTATTTGTACCTTGAGCTCCTCAAAGACTCACTCAACGAGTATGCATATGCAGCAGAGCTAGCGGGCCTGAGCTATGACCTCCAAAATACCATCTATGGGATGTATGTAAGTACCCATGCTCGGCCTTCCACTCTCAACGTTTACATTGATTGGATGGAAGTATTTGGAATCGTGGGTATGACTTTCTTTAAAAAAAAAAAAATCCTTATGACTTATCACATTTTCTCTTTATTTAATTTTAAGTTAGCGTTTATTCTAACATTCCACTGTGTACCATTCATTGTATGCAGAGTTTCCTTGATTTTTTTTTTTACCATCTTTCATCAGAATGCCATATTTTTCTCCTCAAACAAAATTGTGCCCGCTCTAGGTTTAGCTGTCACCCATTCTGTATCTGAAATCTTGCGCTTCAGAAAGACAGAATGAAGTCATGTCTTTGTAAACATGTGAGGTTGGCCTATGCTGTTTCCTCAGAAGTCAGGTCGTGAGGCTGCATATCCATACTCTTCGGTCATGTTTCTCCATTGTCATGCCGCCGTCTGAGGTATCAAAGCATTTCTTTTGTTTTTCTTTTTGTTAGTCGCTACATTTATGCTGATCCTCTCCATTGCAACATGACATACCTGTTTATCAGGTTATTGAAGGATGATTTAAAAGAGTATACATATGCAGCACGCCTGTCAGGTTTGAGCTATGCCATTGCATCAGGGATGAATGCAATTCTTGTAAGTAAAATGCAAGCCCAAGGAAAGGCACCACACTGTTAGAGCTTTCTGTTGAGCTTGGGAAACTATTAACGTCTGCATCTTTAAACAGGAAGGTTGATGGGCTCTTTTCCTGCACTTTTTAAATGACTGAAAGTTTCAAATTAGTGTTAGCCCACTAACAAGTGACTGGGAAAACTTAGTGCATCTTGTGAACATGTCTGTGTGCTACATATATGTGCATGTTCTGTTTGAAATGTTTAATATACTAATCCTAAAAGCATTTGTTTCTCCCAGTGTGTTTGAGTCCTTTGCTATTTATAAGGAAAGGCTATTCGTTATTATTGTGGTGCTTGGATTACATAAACATCTTTTGTTTCTATAGACCGTAGTAGAAAGATCCTGTGTTCAGATCTGCCCAGCACTTTATTTTGTGGCATGTTTCATTAACTCTTTTACTTGTTATTTTTACATCCTGCCATTGATATCTCAGTTGTGAATTAACATCCATTTAGTGACACACATTTATTCTCACCAATCTTGAAAGCACGTGTTTAGTAAAAGCTGAGGTGAGCATGTGTCCCCAGTCTTTCACAAAAGTCTTTAAAATTTCATTTCTTTTTCTTTTTCTCAACATTATTTTTTGGGTGGCTGTTATTCAATGTATAAGAATGCATATATATAGTCTAACCATTTTCATATCCTACAGATTGAGACTCAAAGATCAAAATTAGCCACAAGTATTAAAGTAATAGTCTATTTTGTTTCTTACTAGTGGCATTTAGCAGCATACTAGCATTTATCTGTGGTAAAGCAGGTTTTCCGATGGTTGTTGTGGTTCACATGGTACACAAAGTGCTTTCTGTGGCCAGGGACTTTTGCTCCAGCTGTGGTTCTTGCCTGTCATTCCTCACAGGGTAGTTCTCCGTGCAGTGTTTCCAGTACTGCACATAGAAATGTAATCACACCCTTTCCCCTCCCTTGCTTTCCCAATATGAGGCTTTGAGAGACTGTTAAAGTACTTCATTCTAAGGCGAAAGCCTCATAGTGCGCACACTCTATTTTCCCTACAGATTTGTTTGCCATTGCATTTAGAACATCAGCAGAACCTATAAGATAAGAGGGTAATTAAGTTTGTGGGTCCTTGTCAGATAACACTGAACAAGCAGTATCAGGCTATGAAATATAACATTAGGACTGCCTGATCTTTTTTCAAAGATGATTGTTTTCCCTAGAAGAAGCAGGTAGTTGAGATAGGGTCTTACTGTGTGTTCCTGAGTAGCCTGGGACTGGTTGAGTAAACCAAACTGGCTTCAGACATTGGGGCTGCCTGGCCTCCTAGTGACATCCAACCAGAGCTGATTATTTAAATATTTCTAAACAGCTTTGGAATGTGTCCAGCAGATAGGTAACAGTCCCCTCTGATTTTTGTCTTCTTCCCAAATTCATAATTTTGGGGCTGGAGAGATGGCTTAGAGGTTAGGAGCACAGCTGTTCTTCCAAAAGTCCTGGGTTCAATTCCCAACAAGAACCATCTATAATGAGATCTGGCATGCAGGCATACATGCAGACAGAACACTGTATACATAACATTTTTTTAAGTATTAATTCTACTATTCATCAGAATCTTTCTTAATATAAAATTTATGAGCTTTGGGTGTCACTCCGTGGTAGAGTGTATATTAGCATGGACCTGGAGTTCAGTCTCCAACACCAAAAAGAAGATAAAAACTGAAGACACGTTCTATAATTATATTTGATACAGTGAGAACATGAATGTTCCAGAGTGATAGGGGTCACTGTAGTTTGGCATCAGGTGAGTTTACCTCCTATTGACTTTATTTGGGAAAGGGTATTGTTTAATATGAAGACGATCAGTGTTACATTAAGCTTATATTACTAATACCTTCAACTCTTTCTGTAGCTCTCAGTGAAAGGTTACAATGACAAACAGCCAATTTTGCTAAAGAAGATTACTGAAAAAATGGCCACTTTTGAGATTGATAAAAAAAGATTTGAAATTATAAAAGAAGCGGTAAGTCTTATAACATGTTTCTATAATTTTTATTAATTCACTTGTGTTGTCATGTTATAAAAATTGCTGGACTGGAGAGATGGCTCAGAGGTTAAGAACACTTGTGACTCTTCCAGAGGACCTGAGTTCAATTCCCAGCAACCATATGGTGGCTCACATCTGTAACAAGATCTGGTGCCCTCTCCTGGCATGCAGGCAGACATGCAGGGAGAACACTATATATAATCCATCAATAAATTTTTAAAAAATTGCTAATAATGGAGAGAGGATTGGAGACCAACAACATTTATAGTTCTGAGTCTTTGCTGGTTTTCCCCTTAGGAAGCTGAGGCCTGTAGTATACACCTGACTCTGTCAGCTTCAGAACCTACTAGAGCTACAGGACTAACTCTGGGGAAGCTCCAGTGGCAGTGAGAGACGTCTTACACCAGCCTTCATTTTAGACACATGCCTGCTTGGGTAGCTGGAGGCTGCCTACTGGAAGAGCTTTCTTACTTTATAGTGCACCCTTTAAGGCTGCTATGTCTTCCACTGAAATCCATGCCATGTTTGGCCCAGGACTGGATATACTGGATAAACTCAGTTTTCAGTTGAGTGTCCAATAACTACCACCCATGTTACTTGCTTACTAAGACCTTGGAGGTGTGCGGTATCCAAGGATCCCTGGGAATTACTTTCTGAGGCATGCAAGATGTCCCATAGAGAAGGCATTTAGATACACGTCACATGTCAGAGGTAAAGGTGCCGCCTGGACAATGGAAATGTCTGCCCTTTGATGTTAGAATCAGAGAAGGGTTTTAGTTACTGTGCCTACTTATATAGAAGAGAAAAAAAGTAAATATCCTTGCATTCCAGTTACACATAATTTATGTAGAAGAACTTGGATTATAGCTGATTTTTTTTTAATTGACTTTGAAAATTAATGAGCTCGTGTTTCCCTTCCCTAGTACATGCGCTCTCTGACTAACTTCCGGGCGGAGCAGCCTCACCAGCACGCCATGTACTACCTCCGTTTGCTGATGACTGAAGTGGCCTGGACTAAAGATGAGTTGAAAGAAGCCCTCGACGGTGAGACTCTCCTACCTAATTCTCTACCCTGGTTCTAGTCATTCCATTTCCGAGGGCTAGGCAGCAAGAACCTCAGAACTTAGTACGGTCCAGTGACATTTACCAACTGCCTCACACCCAGCTCTGCCTGTAGGTTAAACAGTGATCAGCTAGAAGGGTCTGTGCATCAGAGACTAGAGCTGGGAAACATTAAGTAGAAAAATCATTTCAATAAAGATGGGATGATGGGTGTTAGGCCAGGAAGCTAGTGAAGTGCTCCCTAGGGAGCACAGTGGACAGTGGGAGTGAACCATGTTCCAGCTCTGCAGCGACTTAGAACTCAGTGACTCAAGATCAAAAACAACTTCAGACGTGTGTGTGTGTGTGTGTGTGTGTGTGTGTGTGAGAGAGAGAGAGAGAGAGAGAGAGAGAGACCTTTAAAACAAGGCAGTAGCTTGTATTTTTGTATTGAATGATAACATCTATAAAATGCCTGACCCATCATAGATATTTAATTAATTAATTAAATTAGTTCCTAAGGAAGGACCAGAACATGTGCAAGGAATGTGAGAAGCAGGAAAATTACTGCTGGGACATGGTATAACAATTGTCACAGGCAGTGTCCACCCACAGATGCTTCAATTAGTAAAAATCTGAGAGAAATGCAGCTAGTGAGATTGCTCGATGGGTAAAGGTGCCCGCACCATGCTGATGACTTGAGTTGGATCCCCAGTACCCATGCGGCGGGAAGAGAGAACTGAATCTTGTATATTGTCCTCTGACCCCCACATTCACCACCACCACCACATATGTGTTGCTACTCTCCACCCTAGACTGCCGTAAAAAACAATCAACACATAAAAGTTAATGCAATAAAATTTTAATTTAAGAATTTGAGAGAAAGCGGTATTTAGACGGTCTTAAACCATCCCCCCAAACAAGTTAATTCTAATGGGAAAACTTGACTTTGAAAGGCTTTGGAAGTGAGCACTTCCAAATTACTTGCTGAACATACACGAGCCACACCGTTATTACCTAAAAATAAAACAGTACATAATGAAAACCCCTGGTAGACACTACCTTAGCCAGGTAACTTCTGATAACAGATCAAGTAGCATGAATATACCCCCTCATGCACTGGGATGCACACTGCCTCTGCGGTGCGTCTCCCTGCTCGTGTATACATATAGTTTGGTCGTTAGAAGACACTAGGTAAACAAAGGAGTTCTGAGGAACTGTTTCCAGTTGTAAGGACGCATGGCCAATAATTGTAATACAAGACTATAGATTAGATACTGAAGAGAAATAGGGCATTCTTGTAAAAACTGAAATTCAAGGCCAGGATTGATGGCACATATCTTAATCCCAGCACACTGTTGCAAAGACAGGGAGGGAGATCCTGGTGAGTTCAAGGCTAGCCTGGTCTACTTACAAGTTCTAGACCAGCCAGGACTACACAGTAAGACTGTGTCTCAAAAAATTCACAAGGAAAAACTAAGACTGAAATTCAAATAAAGACTGTGCTTGGGTTAACAGTATCATATTAGCTTGGTGGTAGCATGCTTGCCTAGCATATACAAAGCCTTGGGTTTGATCTATAGGACCTTGAAAAAAAAAACATAGTGTATTGATTGCTTAGGTTTTGATAATCATGTTGTAGTTCTTGAAATATGATAACATTAGACAAATCTGGGTAAAGAGTCTAAAGGAACTCTAGTATTTTTGTAAGTTTTATATAAATCTGAAATTATTTCAAATACAAAGTTTTGTTTTAAAACATGCAAATCTTACTGTTTCTTACTCATTTCCAGATGTTACCCTTCCCCGACTTAAGGCCTTCATACCTCAGCTGCTGTCACGGCTGCACATTGAAGCCCTTCTCCATGGAAACATAACAAAGCAGGTACATATGGGGTGAAGTTTTAGCAATCTTTTGTGGATCGCTATAAGAGATTTTCCCTTTGTTCTGTCTTAAGACTTGACCAGCACAATGCTGAGTACATTAGAATTCTAATACTCATTTTTTAAAACTAATAGGCTGTAATATTTCTTCTCCTTCAGGCTGCATTAGGAATTATGCAGATGGTAGAGGACACCCTTATTGAGCATGCTCACACCAAGCCGCTCCTTCCAAGTCAGCTAGTTCGGTACAGAGAAGTCCAGCTCCCTGACAGTAAGTGAGATGTTATACCTTTGAAAATGGGTTGCTCTTATACAGTAATGGGGCTTGTTACAATGAGTTGAATGCACTTGGAGAATAATATATGGTTTAATGTCAAAGATCTACATGAATCCTCTGTTCTTTATAGAAATGTGATTATAGGTAGGTAATTTTCCCAGAGAATTCTCTGGTTTGTGAGCCATATACATGAAATTGAAAGTAGGCAGTAATTTTAAGGAGATTGATATTGGAAATTCACTAGTATTTGAATATAGAGGAATTAGAGAATAAAACTCTTATGCTGGGTAGTGGTGGCACACATCTTAATCCCAGCACTCAGGAGGTAGAGGCAGGTGGGCCTTTATGAGTTTGAGGTCTACAAAGGAGTTCCAAGACAACTAGGATTGTTAACATGGAGAAACCCTGTCTCAAAAAAAAACAAAAAACAAACCAAGCCAAAACAAAACAAAAAATGAAAACAAGTTATCTTATAGCTCATGAGATATGAGCTGTGAGGCCTGGAGATTGGCTCATCAGGTCGTGTGCTGTTCCTGGAAAGGACCTGACTTTGGTTCCTAACACCTGTGGGGCAGGGGTGGCTTAAAACTGCCTATAACTCTAGTTCCAGGAGAGCTGATGCCCTCTGGCCTCCATAGGGCACTCATGAGCACAGATACACCACATACATGTATGCGCGTGTGCACACACATGCACACAAATAAATAAAAAATAAATTTTGCTGGATATGGTGGTGACTTGGGAAGCAGAAGCATTTGGGTCTGTGAGTTCCAGACCAGGGTGGACTGCACAGTGACTTTCAGGCTAGCCAGAGCTACATTGTGAGACTCTTGTCTAAAAGAAAAAGGAAAGCCAGTGGATGTGGTGTAGAATGCTTGCCCAGCACACACAGAGCCTTTGATTTGCTCTGAGCAGAGAATTAAAGTGGGCATGGTAGTATATTTGTATTCTGAGCACGTGGGAAGTGGAAGCAAAAGAAGGAGAAATCAAGACAGTAAGTTAGAAACCAGCCTTGGGTAAATGAGACTCAGTGTCAAAAAATAAAAGTTGAAGAAAACTAAGAAGCAGCTGAAATCATGGCACTCATTGGCAGTCCGCTGGAATTGCTGGAGAGGATGGTTCAGAATAGTCAGGGTACAGACAACAACATATTCCTTATGGACATGTTTCTAGGGGGATAACATTAGGAAGTACTTTTATTTATATTGGATTTATAATGTCAGATTATAGTTACACTAACAGTGGCATCTTTTGATATAAAAACTTAATGAACATTGTTTCAGTGTGGAAAACTTTAATGGGGAAGATACTAGACCAAGATTGAGGGCATCGATATTTTTGGCCATTCTTCATTGTTGGCATTCCCTGTGCATACATTATCTGTGTCTCCTGCTCATTGCTCTTTTACCTGCTGAAATGCTGTTCCTTTTCCTGCTGCTCAGGCACTCATGTCTGTATTCTAGTCCTCTTCCCAGGCCTATAGTTCTCCTCTATTTTAGTCAGTTTCCTATAACCATGACAAAATACCCAATATAAAATATATTTTGAGTCACAGTTTTGAAGGTTTCGGGTCATGGGTAGCTGGTCTTTTGCTTTTAAATTTTAACTAAGCAGAATATCATGGGAGTACACATGGAGAAGGAGTCCCTCCCTCCTGGCAGCCAGGAGAGAAAGAGAAGGGAGGCTGTGGTCCTAGCATCCCTTTCAAGCATGTTTTTAAAGATTTAATTCCCTTCCACTAATTCCCACCTTCCAACAGTGTCTAAAGCTGGGGACCACACTCTTTAGGCTAGGGCTGCCGCTCAGTGGGACAGCATCTGTCCAGCATGTGGCCCAAGGCTTGGGCCAAGCTGTAACACCCACTACCCTTTCCTGACATCCTCAGGGGGAGTAACTACTTGCGAGTTTTTCTGAACACTTTGAAGCTCTCAGCACTTCTGCTCTTTCATGTGTGTTAAAGGGCAGCTCCATTTTATGAGATTATACAGTCCTTTAGAGCCAGGGTTTCTGCTTTGAGTAGCTACTAAAGCAGCTCACATGTATTATTACTTCACGGCACCTCTGTTGAACACAGCTTGTTCTGCTGTTGTGCATGGCCAGCTGTCACAAAGTGGGTGATGGTCGTTACATGCTGCCTCTAATGTGTCCCTCAGTCAGGGCATGCATGGCAGAGAGGATTAATTAGGATCTGGTGAGCACAAGCTGTCCCATTGGGCTGAGCTTGGAGCTCTGTGGTTCAACATGTATTTAATGGCAGGTGAGGGTGGTCCTGTGTTTAAGCCTCAAACCAAAAGCAAAAAGAAATCACAGCATTTCCCTTTACTCCGAGTGGTCCAGTCTAGAAACAATTTCAAAGTGGAGCTTTTCCTGCCCTCCCTCCTGTCCTCTCCCAGGGGCCTGTCTTTGCCTCCTGATTGCGCGATCAGTTTCCCTCATTTTCAGAAACAGCACAGTTTGCATCCCATTCTCAGAATGACGGTGTTAGAAAATGACTCTGATTTAGCCGACTGATCAGATGTGAATGCCTTAAGTAACCCTTCACCTGAGGCTCCATTGGTCTGCATCTGCAGCTGGAAGGCAGAATCTTATGTGTTGTGAGGGAGGAATTATTTTGAGATACATGTGAAAAGCTGGAAGAGGGTCTTAAGACATGAGTCTTAGAGCCCACGAACCCTTCCCTCTTCTGAGGAGAAACAGCACTGGCAGTGTCTACTGGGAGGCGGTTTATTAAGTCAGGTGTCTGGTTCATGCTAGAATCCTAGCACTGGGGGGTAAGACAGGAGAAGCAGGATCCAAAGCCAGCTTCAACCACATAGCAAAGTCAAGACCAGGCTGGGCTATGTGAGACTTTGTCTCAAAAAAAAAAAAAAAAATTGAAAGAAAATTGTCAGTCAAGGGGGTAAAAGATAAAGAGGGTGTTGGGGAGCACACATGTAACCTCAACCTCACCTTTTATGAGTCAGAGGCAGAAGGATTCCAAGGCCAACCTGGCTGTATTAATTTGCTTTCTGTCTCTGTAATAAAACACTGACCAAAACTAACCATGGGGGGAAGGATTTATTTTGGCTTACAGGTTACAGTTCCTCATCCAGGGAAGCCAAGACAGGAGCTCAATGCAGGTGCTTGAGCAGAAGGCATGGAGGAAGGACCGTGGCTACTGACTGACTTATTTCTCATGGCCTACTTGGCTGCCTTTCTGGGAGTGTTTTGTTTTGTTTCTTTTGGTTTTGGTTTTGTTTTTTTTTATAAAAGTTTATTAATTTATAAAAGTTTCCATTTCCGCCCCTCCTCCCAACACCCTCCCACTCCCCCCACTCCCTCTCCTCCTCCCTCTCCATCCCTAAGAGCAGTCAGGGTTTCCTGCCCCGTGGGAAGTTCAAGTTCCTCCCCCCTCCCTCCAGGTCCAGGAAGGTGAGCATCCAAACAGACTGGATCCCAAAAATCCAGTATATGCAGAGGAAACAAGTCCCAGTGTCATTGTCAATGACTTTTCAGAAAGACCCCGTGCCAGCCACATTCAGAGAATCTGGCCACATTCAGAGAATCTGGTTGGATCACATGCTCGTTCAGTCCCAGTCCAATTGGCCTTGGTGAACTCTCATTAGATCAGTCCCCTTGTATCAGTGGGTGAACGCACTCCTCACGGTCCTGCCTTTCTTGTTTATGTTCTCCCTCTGTTTTTGTTTTTTAAGACAAGATCTCACAATGAGCCTTGGCTGGTCTAGAGCTCACTAGGTAAACCAAGCTGGCCTCAGACTTATAAAGATCAGCCTGTCTCTGCCTCCCAAGTCCTGGGATTAAAAGTGTGCGCCACCACACCAGGCTGGCATTTTTCTTATACAGCCCACGCCTACCTACCCAGGCATGGCACCACCTGCAGTGGGCCAGGATAGCTGTACTCTCCCCTGTGGATGGCCTATCTAGAAAATACCCCACAGATCAGTCTGATGAAGGCAGTTCTTCAACTGAAATCCCCACTTTTAGATTTTGTACTGAAATGTTGAAAACTCATCAGCATGTTCAAGGCCAGCCTCAGATATATGGTGAGACTTTGTCTCAAAAAGCACTAAGAAAAAAATAATAATAATACCAAATGTTGGAGGAGACTGCTCTGTTTGTCCCCAGACACCCAGACCCCAAATGACCAAACAGAAAGTATATTAATTACATCACTGCTTTGACTAATTAGCTCAGGTTTCTTATTGGCTAGCTCTTATATCTTGAATTAACCCATTTCTATTAATCTGTGCATCACCATGAGGTTGTGGCCTACTGGCAAGGTTCCAGTGAACTCCAACAGGCATCTTTCTCCTCTGGCTGCAACATGGCTTCTCCCTGACTCCGCCTACTTTCTCCTCTATCTTTGCTTGGAATTCCCACCTTGCTCTATTCTGTCCTGTAATAGGTCCAAGGCAGCTTCTTAATTAATCAGTGGTATACAGAGGGGAATCCCACATCAACCAAATATATCATTGACTTTATTAAATCACAGACACTCTCTTTTTGCAACTTCTCAGGAGGCTGGTTTGTTTATCAGCAGAGGAATGAGGTTCACAATAACTGTGGCATTGAGATCTACTACCAGACAGACATGCAGAGCACCTCGGAGAACATGTTCCTGGAGCTTTTCTGTCAGATTATCTCTGAGCCTTGCTTCAACACACTGCGCACCAAGGAGCAGCTGGGTAAGAAGTCAGCGGGGATTGAGGATCCTGGAAACCCTAATGAATAGCTTTTATGCTCAGCAAACACTCTGCCCATGGAGTCACATGGCATTGTGTATGGAGCCTGCTATATTTAGAGGGACTGTGAAAACCTTGTTTCTAGGGAACTGCTTCTGAAAGATGAGCAGTTAACGTCTTGCAGACATAGGAGCTGTTGTTTTTTTTCTTCCTCCTCCTCCTCTCCTTCCTCCTTTAGATCCTTCTCTTCCTCTTCCATCCTTTTTGTGAGGAGGATTGAACCCAGACTCATCTGAAGGTGCTAGGCAAGTCCTCAGCACTAATGTTAAAGCGATTCTTAATGAGATGATGCAGGATTTCCAGAGGGAAGAAAGAATGCTGAGAGTAGGCTTGTAGGTAGGGAGGTGGGAAACAAGTCCTAAAGAGGAACTTAGCTTTGCCAAACTTTTGAGTTACCTGAGGGCAGGTATTATCTCTTCCTCATCCTGTATCCCAGGCACAGGGGGAAGTAAGCGCTTGCAGTTTTAGACTTGGAGATCGTGGCAGGTTTGTTGGATGAGGCAAGAAGTTCACCTTGGCAGATGAAAGCATCACCCTCCGCTACTTAGACAGTTCTATGCCATTCTGGGCAACATGAGACCCATCTCAAAAAACCAAACAACAAGAACAAAGAGAAGCTCAAAGAAACACCAATAACAACTTGGAAGGAACATTTTGAAAGGATATGGGCGTATCTCTCACGTGCCCTATCATTTTAGAGTCACCCCCATGCTAGGTGCTGAGAATGGAAAATGGACACGTCATGGATAGTCCTTTTAAGGAGCTCAAAATGGCTGACCTATAAAGGAGTAATTATGTTTCAGTGTGGTGTTCCTGTAAGAGCATTCAAACAGCAAAGCTCCTAAAGATAGCAAGTTCCCCAGAGTCCCAGGTTCCCAGACTGTCTTTAGTGGTAGATCTGTGCAGAGCTGCGGAAGGAAAAAGCCAAGAGCTAAATGGAGAAAGATTTGGGGATTTTAACTCTGAGGGACAGTCCCTTTTAGCCTGTGAGGACTGCTGCTTCTCAGGTTGGGGCATGATGGCACTACATCCGGTGGTTGCTGCAGTCTGATGTGCACAGGGGCTGCGCACTGTCTGTGGCTGCCTATCATGCCTCACACATTGTTGGCAACTGAGGAGCGGAGCCTCCACATTGCTAGGTACTCTCCGGCCAGTGTCTACAGCCTGACCTCCCGAGCGCTGTACCCACGTGACTGACAGATGAGAATGCCTGAGACCTGTGCATGCTCTGAAGCACTGACTCACTTAGCACGTTCTCCAAGTCTGGTGTTACAGCTGCAGACTGTGATTGGTGCTCCTGGGCCACAGTAGGTGCCTATGGGCACATAAATGAAACCACCACCAGTTATACACTGGAATTCCATTCTGGCAAGGGAAGGGGACTTTCTATGACTGCAAAGGCTGCTACCTGGCAGCATCTAGGCCCAGTGATATATATGAGACATGAAAGACCACCAAGGTGGGTGAAAACAAGATCTTTGCCTTGTAACAGCTGGACCCAGGTTTGCTGCAGGTACCCAACTAAAGGAGCATGTCCATGTGCCAGAACATGGAACTGTTGACAACTCATAAAGAAGAGACTGAGACTGACCATGATGCTTTGAGCGTACCTTCTGCATGTACAGTGGCAAGTGTTGGGTGCTAAAAGCCACCAGGGGTATGCATAGCAATTTGCTGTGTACCAGGAGGCCTGATGCTACTTTGACATCATGTGGTGATGGCTGGTGCATCAGTGGCAGGCATCCAGTGGGAAGTCTGTGACTGCCGAGGAGAATGGGCAGCTGACTGTCCCAATCAGAGATGTAGGCCTCTTCCTCACAAACCTGGTCAGTAGTCCTGTCTCTGTGTTTCATAGGAAATATGGTGTTCTTGACTGCCACAAAGTCACAGGAACCTTGGACGCCAGCCACTGAGAGTGGGTGCTAGCACTGTTTGCTTTATTTGGGCAGCTCCTCCAGACATTGTCGTATACAGGCACTCAGGACCCCATTGTGGTTCCCTTAAGGTAGCACCCATCCACCTACCTGTACTAATTCCGGAGGAAAAAAATTCACATGAATTTTTCTTCATCTGCCTACTAGAGCCTTGTCTACAACTAAAACTTTTCCGTGGTAACTTTGATGTTTAGGTTTCACTATTGAATTTGAGCAGGAAGATGTAGTTAGAGTGGCTTTCAACTAGACAGCAAAATAAAATAATGTCTACAAAAGATGGGAGCTGAGAGGTAGGAAATGTGTTGTTGGAGGGGTGTATATAAACACACAGGATATAGATAGAGCTGTGTCCTCCAGTTAACCCCATCCTAGAGAGTTGTCTTATTCAAAGCTGATCCAGAACAGATTATCAAGGAAATGCATTGTAGAACCAGGGTCGTGTGGGGAACTTAGATGGTAAAGCAAAGAAGGAGTTGGGACTTGGCTGAAGCGTGAAAATGAGCAGTTTGTGGGAATGGATACCCTGAGCTTAGACAGGGGCAGCTGGGAAAGTCACAGGATGTGGATTTGAAGGATAAACATGGTCAGCCTCTAGTTTCTGTTCTTCAGTGAGCCATTCAGCTTTGTCCTGAGGAAGAAGACAGTGTCTTAAATGGTCGTATTTCTTCAATGTGAATGAGCTAAAGTAGATTTTATTTGCTCTGATCCTGACTGGCCGTGTGTGTGCTTCAGGCTATATCGTCTTCAGTGGACCTCGCCGAGCCAATGGCATCCAGGGCTTACGGTTCATCATCCAGTCTGAAAAGCCACCTCACTACCTGGAAAGCAGAGTAGAAGCCTTCTTACTCACCATGGAGAAGGTCATAGAGGACATGACGGAGGAGGCCTTCCAGAAACACATTCAAGCATTAGCCATCCGTCGACTCGACAAGCCAAAGAAACTCTCCGCCGAGTGTGCCAAGTACTGGGGGGAGATCATCTCTCAGCAGTACAATTATGACAGAGGTAATGTAAAAAGGGCTCCACGGTGGAGTGGATGTGAGATCTGAGAGCATCAGAACCATTCTATGCGGTATTCGTTTCGTAGGTGTTTGTTTCAGCATTGATTTGGCAGCGTGGTAGGGTGGCACATCTTTTAAAAAATATTTTTTTAAAAACTATTACTTAGTTAATGTAACAACCATTTCCTGCTAGAAACTATCTTCCCCAGAAGTAAAGCTGGTCTCTGTGTCCCATTAACTCCCTTTCTGTCCTGTCAGTGTGGCACTGGCCCATGAGCATCCATTTCCCTGATGTGACTGGGGGAAGCATGCAGAGTAAACATCCAGACAGCAAGGGCCTCCCCTGCACAGTTTAGGAATCTCCAAAGATCCACGCATTGGAGCGTCCTGCGTGTCTGATTCCGTTCCGGTTTCAGTACAGAAGGTTTAGCCGTGAGGCCGAAGTACACTAGATGTCAGGAGACAGGTTTTATTCCTGCATCACCAAGCTGACAGTCTTGACCAATCACCCTTGTTCCTCACTTTCCGTACCTGTGGCTTTTGTTGTTGTTTGTTTGTTTTTGTTTTGTTTTACTACTGAGACAAGGTCTTAATACGTAGCCTTGGCTGATCTGGAGCTTGCTATGTAGACTGAACTTGCTTCAAACTCATAGAGGTCTGAATTCTGCCTGCCTTGGCATTTCTTTTGTTTTATTTTGTTTTGTTTTTTGAGACAGAGTTTCTCTGTAACAATCCTAGCTGTCCTGGAACTAGTTCTTGAAGACCAAGATGGCGTTGAACTCAGAGATCTGCCTGCCTTGACATTTCAAGTGCTAGAATTAAAGGCTTGCATTACCTTGCCTGACCTTCACCTGTGGTTTTTCTAACAGTTGGATCTGCTTATGATATCGATGGCTACTGTGTTTGACCATTTACCACGTGCCTGACATCATTTGTTACATGTCACCTTCTTGGTTGTCATTATAACCGTACTTTGTGGTTGCTCCCTTTGATCTCCAGATAAGGAAACCGAGGATTGGAAACTCAAAGTGACTGGTTCCTGAGTCAGGTCTTAACTACTGTAGCACAGGCAGTTACTTTACTTGGCATCTATCCCCTGCCTACTTAGCAGATGGTGGCTTTAAATTGTGGATACCTGGTCTGGAGAGAAGAGCAGCAGGTGTCTTAGTCTGAACTGGATCCCTAGAACCCACAGGTGCAAGGAGAGACCCAGCCAAAAGCTATGCTGTGACCTTTACAGACACACAAATGAAAGTAAAAGTTTTTAAAATCATGGGTACCTAACAGACTTAGAGTGAAATGTATTGTCATTCAGTGCAGTATTTTTAGACTGTTTAATGTAAAAATATTAATAAATTTCTGTTTGGTTGCCCTTTCAGATAACATAGAAGTTGCATATTTAAAGACGCTTACCAAGGATGATATCATCAAGTTCTACAAGGTTAGTGGATTTGTTATCTAGATTTTATTTTATTTTCTAATTAGTATTTGAGTGTTTAATGTGTATTGTGTGGGTGCATGCATGTCGAGGTCAAGGCAGCTTGCAGAAGTGGGTTCTCTTCTACCAGTGGATCCCAGGTTGTCAGGCTTGGTAGCAGGCGCCTTTTCCCACTTGAGCCATCTCATCGGCTCCTAAGTTTTGGTTCATAATGAACTGCTTGCCGTACTGTGTATTGAACTCATTCACACTGGAGGCGTTTTTGTGGAATTAAGGATTTGACACCTTGACCTGTTACTGTTAAATACAGTCCTCTCTGCGCTTCAAAGGCCGCAATGGCTCTTCTGGCTTCCAAGCCATTTCCAGGCTCTTTTTCTGTCTTTTGCTTCTACCATGCTGTTTAAATAACTTTGTCGAGCTTTTCAGTGGGCAGGGAGAGTCCTTAGTCCATTATCTACAGGGCAGCAGCAGGAGCAGGTAGGGTCTCTGACTACACACTAGGTCTCAGATGTCCCACCCTCACCCGCAGCACGATGAATAAAAACCCAGAGACAGATATTGGGGTTCAACCTGAAGGTCAGAAAAGCAAAACAGCCAGCCACTGGCTCTTACCTCTACCTCAATCTGAAATGGTGATCCTGCCTCCAAGAATACCAGAATGAGATTGAGACTGAGAGCTGTCTCCTCCCGTATTATATCCATCTCGAGGGCTGGGATTAAAGGCCTGCACCACTGCTTCCTGGTTTCTTTGACAAACTAGTGTGGCTACTGGGATTAATGGAGTGTGCCACCATTGCCTGGTCTGTAAGGCTGACCAGTGGGGCTGTTTCACTCTCTGAACTTTGGACAAGCTTTATTTATTAAAATACAAATGAAATATCACTACACCCACCCCAAACCAGTGGAGCTGTGGCTTCAACCAAGGCACCTAAGCTTTGAGGCCTCAGTTTCCTGGTCTACAACATAGAGGTTCATCTGAATGAGGTATGCAAGTGACATTTGTTAGTCTTGGGCTTTCGACTTTATTTTTTTTTAATATTTATTTTTTATGTACACTGGTGTTTATCTTAAATATATATCTGTGTGAGTGTGTTAGAGAGATCCCCTGGAAATGGAGTTACAGGCAGGTGTGAACTGCCTCGTGGGTGCTAGGAATCGAACCTGGGTCCTCTGGAAGAGGGCAGCCCAGTGCTCTTAACTGCTGAACCATCTCTCCAGCCCAAGGGCTTTCGACTTTAAATCAGAGTGTTTTTCTTCTAAATGTTACAATGTAAATTCTAGCTGTGTTTCTTTACTACCTGCAGGCCGTTGCACTTTGTGAGGACAAGTATTTCTTCTCAGTTGCTTACAGATGAGGATGACCACATTCAGTCCTGCCTGGGTTCTGAGGTCATCATCCTAAAGTATCATTAGTCATACCTGTTCACAAAAGGCGACATCCCAATGTAACCTGCAGTAATGCCTCTAGGAGGAATGACGTCTTGCTGTTCTCTACATATGCTGTTGTTTAAAATTTCAGTACCTACTTGATGAGTTTGAAATTAGTGATTATAAGCTAAGTGGAGGTGGCACACGTGTTTAATCCCAGCTCTCGGGAGGCAGAGGCAGGCAGATCTTTGTGAGTTCGAGGCCAGTCTGGTCTATAGAGTTCCAGGATAGGCTCCAAAGCAACACAGAGAAACCCTGTTTCAAGGGGTGGGGGAGAAGAAAGAAAATAGTGATTATGGTACTGACTCACTCTTGGATTTAAAAATTAGAGTATTTATGCCAACTTGGCTAAGTGCAGAAGAGACTTGCTCTAACTACCCTCCAGCTAGCATTCTGATAAGCCACAGCTGGGGGAAAAGCTTTCACCGGCATAGAGTGCATTAGCACCTAAAGTGTTGCAACCTGTGTTTGATTTGTCACAAGTAACGCATTCCTAAACACTTTTCACTATGGAGCCTTTTTTTGCAAGGAATTTTTAAAAGGTATCTAGAGTTCTGGTTTACAGAACGTTTCAGTAGTTCATTTCTTCTTTAAAGAAAAAAAAAAGGCTTGGTAAGGAAATGGAAGCCAGTGTGAAACTGTTTCAAGTTGACAGTACACGGTGAAGAGGGATCAAGAATAGAACTTTGCTGTCAGCTGTGGTGGCACACACCTTTGGTAGAAGGGGCATATGATGAATCTCTGAGTTCAACGCTACACAGTGAGACTGTGTATTTTGGGGGAGTGTGGTTAGAGATGAGTCTCACTATTTAGCTCTGGCTGTTCTAGAACTACTATGTACACCAGGCTGGCCAGAGATCCACCTGCCTGCCTCCCAAGTGCTGGGATTAAAGGTTTGTGCCAGCACCACTGAGCTGAGACCCTGTAGTTGTTGCTGTTTGTTTTTAAAAAGAATCTTTGGAAGCAAACTTTTGACTAGAATAAGAAGTTCTCAAGCAAGGTATTCCATGGTTCTGGATGCAGGCCTGGAAGCTTCTAAAAGGAGAGGTCAGAGCAGCCTTGGGAGGCTGGTCCAGGCTCTGTCAGGACTGGGGGAGCTAGGGTAGGACTTGCTACGCCACAGCAACAAGGCTTCCTCTTAAATACCCAACGCCAGTTTTGTGATAATTGTCCTCACAGCTGTGGAGTGGTTTGGTTTGTCTCGTGTCCTTTCCCCTTTGAGAAGCAGACATGTGCCATCGGCTAAGGCACCATGGGAAGCTTCATCCCAGTGATTATTCCTTTGGTAGTAGCAATAAAGGTCCAACCTTAGGGAAAGGTCAGGAGCTAGGAGAAAGTTTGGCTGTAAGCAAAGGGAATCCCTGGAAAGAACCCAGAGACGCTAAGAGCACATACAGGCTGTGACTCAAGCACAGCGTTTCTGTTGTCGAGTCCACATCGCTACAACGAGCCGCATCATGACACTGAAAATAATGTGAGTGCATGCAGGAGACTGCCACATACATGTGAGAGATGAGAAGCCACAGCTTTGCCAGCTGACCCCTGGTACCGAATTTGAAAGTACTTAGAGATCTAACAAGGGTTGTGATTGTCCTGAGTGAAGACCACTGGAGGGGCCAGCATAGCGGCGCAGGCCTGGAGTCTTAGCACTGGGTAGGCTGACGCAGGAGAATTGCAAGCTCAAGGCCTGCCTGGGCTGTATAGCAATCAAAGAAAGGGAGGAAAGGGAAGTGGGGGAGAGGGAGGGAGGAAGGGAGGGAGGGAGGAAGGAGGGAAGGAAATGGTAGGGAAAAGAATTGTTTACGATCCCTAGGTGACAGAGACATGTGGCTCAACAGGGAAAGGCACCTACCATAAGATTAACCCCATATGGTAGATGGAAAGGACAGACTTCCTGTAGTTGTCCACACTGTGCCCATCCCCCACAAAGAATAAATGTAAGGAGAAAGGTCAGCCAGGCGTGGTGGCACTTGCCTTTAATTCCAGAATTTGGGAGGCAGAAGTAGGCAAATCCGTGTGTGTTCTCCAGGTCAGCCTGGTCTAGGCCATCAGGGCTACATAGTTGAGACCTTGTCTGAAAAAAGACCACTAGTAAATACTGAAGTAGGTGTGTAAGCCTGGGCATATATTAACTATGAGTTTGAACAAAACACTCAATTCCCTTGGGCTTTGCTACCTCATAAAGGTAATAACTCTTGACTGTGCTGGGGTGGGTGTAGCCCCATGGTAGAACATCTGCCTGGCATGTATGAGGTTCTGGGTTAAATTCCAATCATCACAAAAAGAGAATTAAGTCTTTCCTGCCTCCTGGAATCTTTTAGAGTAAAATCATGTGAAGGTAAAGGAAAGAAAGCTTCCTTTTGTACCTAACATGGTGACTGACTCTTCAGACCCTCAGAGAGAACTTCACTCTAAGTTTCTTTACAGCCTAAGAGGGTGACCTTGGTTTTCTCTGTGCATAGGAAATGTTGGCCGTGGACGCACCAAGGAGACATAAAGTATCCGTCCACGTTCTTGCGAGGGAAATGGATTCTTGTAAGTATTGGATGCTTGTAACATGAGGGCTGGCTTGTTGGGGTATCTGTCCCTCCCGGTACCCCACAGCCGGCAACTCCCAAGGAAAATCAATCACACAGAGATCTCTATAAGTTATAAAGCTGATTGGCCCATTAGGTCAGGCTACTTATTAGCTCTTATAACTTATGTTACTCCATTATCCTTATCTACATTAGCACATGGCTCAGTACCTTTCTCAGCTGGGCAACTTACATCTTTCCTCTCCGGTGGTCTGGGCAGAACTGCGGAGGGAGCTTCCTGCTTTCCAGAATACTCCAAGTCTCTTTGCTCCACCTCTACTTCCTGTCTGGCTTTCCCGCCTATACTGCCTGCCTGGCCAATCAGCATTTTATTAAAATATGATTGACAGAATACAGACAATTCTCCCACACCAGATGCTGACCTTCTAAAAAATTCCATTTCTACTCTGATACTGAGCCATATGATGGCTGTCACTCACCTTAGAGAGCAGCAGAAAGTGGAGATATAAACAGAAGGTCCTAAGGCAAGGTCTGCTCTATTGAAGCAGAAGTTCAGGCAGAGGGAATGGAATGGTGGAGAAAGCCAGTACCCGCTGACAGTACCAGTGTGGGCTGTAGGGAAGGCCTGCAGGTGGGGTCACCCGCATAGTCCTCTCTGGCTTTCCCAGGAGCTCAGAGCCTCAGAGTCTAATCAAGTCAGACCTGAGCACTAGAGCTGCAGAGGCCCAGGCTATGTGGGCCTCAGTGACGTCAACATAGAGCCAGTGCTGGGACAAGCACTCAGGCCTTGCAGCAAGCAGCTTGGGAGAATCTGAAAAGTGTGTCAAGGGCTTAGTATGGTTTATTTTTCAATTGAAAAATTTTCAGTTTTTAAGTCTAGCTTGGATTTCTTGAAAATTGCTCTTAATGCAAGTATGAATACGCGTAAAGCTTTGGCTTCCTTACAGGTCCTGTTGTTGGAGAGTTCCCCTCTCAGAATGACGTAAACTTGTCAGAAGCACCAGCCTTGCCACAAGTAAGAAACATTAGACAGGGTCTGAGGACTTCTAAAGGAGCTCACTCATCAGAAACCTTGGAAACCTAGAGGTTCAGGTCTTCTCGAATGCCCCATCACTCAGCCTCTGGCTTTTCTGCCTTTGCCTCTGTTTTCTTTTGTTTTGGGGTCATGTAGCTCAGGCTGACCTGAAACTCACTATGTAGCTGAAGTTGGCTTGAACTCCTAATCCTGCCTCAACCTCATAAGTAATAGGAATGCAAGTACCACTCCTCCTGTCTTTGCCTCTGGTCTGGACTGTCTCACTCTGTACCAAGTCATCTCCAGCCGTGTCTTTCCCAGATTTGAGTACGGGAGTGAGAGTGTCTGACCCTTTCCATAGTGCCTCTTTATTTACTAATCTTGAAAGACGAGCATTTACTTAAAGGGTAAGAAAATGGGCAATGTTATTAGGCTTTTGCTAGGTGTTTGAGTCAGCCCGTGCATGCCCAGGTGAAAGCCAAGAGTCATCTGGCCCAGAGTTCCATCTACCATGGGTCTCTACAGACTCATTCATGACCCTCTGACCCAATTTGAGTATATGGGTATCTCCTTATTGTAAACACCACCACGTCCCCGCCACCTCAGCCTATCCCCAAAAGCTGATATACTGTTCAGTCTAACTTTTAAATTAAACACACTAAAGAAAACTTTTTTTTCCTTTTCAGCCTGAAGTGGTTCATAACATGACAGAGTTCAAGCGTGGCCTGCCACTGTTTCCCCTTGTGAAACCACATATTAACTTCATGGCTGCAAAACTCTGAAGAGAATGGATACGTTCCTGTGTCTTCAAAGGCCTGGGAAAGCAATCTTAACCACTTGAGTAGTTTCTGGCTTGCTGTTAGAGAGACAAACAGAAAAGAGTTATCAGACATTATTATATAGAAATGTTAAAACCCAAAGTAATAAAATTATAAAATCTTATAGATGTAGAATATTTTTAAAATACATGCCTCTTAAATATCCTAATTTTTTTTCCTTTTTAGTCCTAAGAGAAATTCCCCTACATTAACTGTTTAATATGAAGAAGGATATCCCAGCAGAATCTTTCTTCCTTATTCTGTAAAATAGTCTCTTGTCCCAAGAAAACAATTTTTTCTAAAAGGCTTCAAACCATTTAGAAATGATTACCTTTTAAAGAACCAGCCCTCAAGTCTGCTTTCTATTTGATAGTTTCCTAAATCAACAGAAAACATTACATTTGGCAGATAATGCACAAAGCAATGTCATGTTCTTTATTAGGTTATTACTGATTATCTAAGGCATGATTTTAAAGTTTTTATAAAATTTGGGTATGTTTTTTAATCTTCTTAGTCAAATGCTGGAAAGCCCTAGAACACCTGATTTACAGTGCTAGAAACACAGATTAACCTTACATCACAATTAGAATTTCTCAGGATTCCTGTGGGTTCTCTCATTGAATTCTGTTGGCGTTTCTGGTTTTCGTAGTTGGTTTGCAGTGTTCCACCAGCAGGCAGATGCGTGCTTCTGTGTATAGGGTGTGAGACGTGCCGTGCTCAAGTCTGCTGTTGTCCCCCTTGACTCCTGGGGGACATTGCCATCAGTGTGGGAACTAAACCACTGGGAGCAGATGCAAAGCCACACCTGCAGTCTTAGACAGCCAGTCTCCGAAAGACTCTAAACTCGCTGCTGCTTCCAGTCTCATCTTGCCTTAAGTGATATTTTTTTGAATATATGAATATAGACATACAGATGATGACTGGAGTGGGCTTTTAAAAACTATTTTTTTCCACAGGATACTATTTTAGGTGAAGATGTTACTGTAGATTCAACAGCTGTTTTAAAATATTTGCTATTATTAAACCTTGCTTCAAGAACAAGCGTGGCTGTTTCCACACACAGGCAACAGCAGTGGAAAGGGCTCCTGTTTGCCACCGACTCAGGCAAAGTACAGAGCGGCGTTTCCAAGAAACATTTGACTGCTCTGTACGGCTTGGTTTGCCAGGATTCTCTGCTACAGAGTCTTGGCTTTTCACAGCTTAAGTTTCCATATTTGCCACTTTCCAAACAACATGAACTTGGGCGGCTGTGGAGACCGCTCTCCCCGTGGTGCTGCGACTGACTTTTATCCACACGTTTTAAGAGTCTCCCGGTGAGAAACCTGTCCTTGTCTGTCCCATCAGAAGGTGTGAGTCATCCTTTCCTTCTCGTCTGAGCGATTGGCCCAGCCGCCAAGGCTGACTTTAAACTCCTGATCCTCCTGCCTCCACCTCTCAAGTGCCGGGATTTGGCGTGCGCCACCCTGCCCGATGTGACTATGCAGCTTTTCATCAGACTGCAAAGTATATACAAGACAAATCTAAAACTAGTCCTGAGTGTCTGAATCCATCACTGTAAACGCAAATAACAGTCTGCTGCCTTTTCTGTAAGCAATTACGTGGCGATGAGTAACTTAGCTCTTTTCTAAAAGATAGGTACAGTTATGAGCATGTCTTTTGTATGAGAAAAGGCACTTGAAGAGACCGGAAAACAGTCCCATGTCATCTTCACGAACCTGCATGTGGTGTTCAGTGTGCTCCCGAGCTCCTGTGTGTCTCTTGACATCCTGACGGGTTCATCTCGGTGGGTCCAGGCTGTGGTCCATGAACAAGAGCAGACTACCCAGAGACTGCCATGTTCTCAAGCTTCACAAGTGAGATTTGTGAAAAAGTTATGAGTTAGCAGAGTCTTTAAGAAGTCTTTTTAATCAGTTGGTGTGTAAAAGCATGTGGCACTGCCGGTGTGGCAGGTCCTAGGATTACCCTGTTTACAATAAATCTCCTGAACCGAAACTGTGTGCTGGATTATTTCATAGTTTGTGTGAAACGGTGCCCACCCTCAGCCTCCCCTCAGCGTTCAGATCTCACAGGATTCCTTGTGTCTGCTATTCTGTTGCAGAAAGCAACATGTTTGTGTCTGTACACACAGATGTGCATGTGTTGGTGTCTGTCTGCTAAAGTGGCTTTTGTAAGCTAGGAGCCTCAGTGTGGGAGACCAGAGTCCTGTTGAGCAGTTCCACTGACACAGGACAAGAGCAAGTCACACAGACAGGTTAAAAAAAAAAAATGGAAGATTTGATTATCTGTTCTCAAAGAGTTCATAGTTAAAACTCTTCTCCCCAGTGCACACACTCAATTAGAGCAAGAAATTACACTGATTTTACATTGATATTCTAGGAAATACAGAAGGGAACCCTTCTCCACTCAATTAGTATTATTTATCATGGTAGCAAAATGGAGAGGAAAACCAGCCTAGGATCAACCATTTCAGTAGATTAATAAGAGTATTTTAGGAAATTTATGAAAATGTCAACAAGCAGAGAGACTGCCTTATCCCGCTCTGGGACTTTATGAAATAGATACAGCTATTTAATGAAGGAATGCAGACATGTCTCCTTAGGCCCTCATGAGAACTCCCTCTCTAGTCAGACTGTGTCTGAGGTCCTGGGCAGTGCAGATATCAGCACTGGGAAAATGTGAAGCTGTTCATGGGCAACATGGTCAGATGGTCATGAGGATCTCCAGAATGTATGTGCATGTACAGGCAGCGGAGTTAAAATGCTTCAGTAACTTGAAGTATGAAGAATTTCAGGGTAAAGTTACCAGAATATGGAAACTTACATACTAAAAATGTAACCAGACGCAGCTAGCTCTCCACCAGGTCGTGGCTGTGCAGGCAGGGAGGACATGGAAGTTACGAGAAGCCTTCAAACAAGGGCAGCATGGAGATTTTATAATAAAAAGGGCACACGGAGCTGCTGTGCTGGCTTATGCCCAGCAGGCAGAGGCAGGCAGATCTCTTGAGTTTGAGGCCAGCCTGGTCTATGTAGTGAACTCCACAGTGGCCAGGTTATATATTGAGATCCTGTTTCTAAGAGGGTGGGAGTGTGAACAAAATGAGATACTTTTCCATGAGGGTTGCCTCTGGAATTGAGGCTGGCCTCCATCCTTGACCCTCCTGCCACCAGCTTCCTCGTGCTCAGATTGCAGACCATGTGGCTAAGAAGTATGTTCTAAAAAGGGGGATTTAAGAGTTCATTTATTTAGGATCCTTAATGGTTGGCACACACAAAGACGGGCATCATCGGTTTTTCTAAAGTTCACATGGATGTGTCTGGAGATACTGGTACACACTTGAGGTGAGAAACACAAATCCCAGGCTTTGTCCCCAGCTGGGTCTGGCTCTGCATGCCTGTCATCCCAGCAACTGGGAAATCGGAGACATGAGAGCCAAGGGTAACCGAGGCCATGAAGAAAGAATCTGTCTTTAAGAAAACAAAAAGACAAGGAATTCGCCCTGAACTTTTGTGGCACAACTGAGTGAAGATGGATATGTAAGAGGCCACTTCCTGGATGCTGGAGTTAGGCTTTGGCGTCTTTCCCAACAGTGAGTTCATCTCTTGGGACTCTGCGATCGGCTATGAAATATTAATTATTTCTATTTTATTTTAAAGTAATGGTGTGTGTTTATGTAAGTGCATGTGTGTCTGTCTGCTGGTGTCATTCCTCGGGTGTTTCCCACCTTATTTTATTTCGTTATTTATTTTGTTTGTCGAAACAGGGTTTCTCTGTAGTTTTGGAGCTTGAACTAGCTCTGTAGACAGAGATCTGCCTGCCTTTGCCTCATCTGCTGGGATTAAAGGCGTGAGTTACGACTGCCTGGGCTTTAAATCTTTTATTTTCCTGGGGGATCCAGATTAGGTCATGCTGTCTGGCCAGCAAGCCCTGTCACACCTAGCTTTTTTTTAAAAAAAAAAAAATCTTTTTTGTTTTTTAATTGTGTGAGGGACTTCACCACCAAGGTGGAGGTCAGAAATAACCCAAGATTGGTCCTCTTTCCACCATGTGGGTGGGTCCCAGCAAATGAACACAGGTCCTTCTTGCCAGCCACTTTTTTCTTCTGGAGACAAGATCTCACTATTTAAAATAGGCTGCCTCAAACTCGCAGAGATTCGCCTGTCTCTGCCTCCCAAGTGCTGGAATTAAAGGCATGTGCCTCCCTGAATGCCTGCCTCTTTTGTAGTTGTTTAGATCTTGGTCTTGGGTCCTGTTGTAGTCCTTCTTGAACTGGTCTGGGGAAGGGCGCTGCTGACGGTGCAGAGCCAGCACTGTCCGCCAGAGGGAGAAAGAACACTTCTCGGTGAAAAGTGCTCCCCACAAAACCTGATTTCAGTGCCAGCTCCATTTTATGTAATATACCAGTTGGGGCAAAAATGTAGCAAGACCCGGGCATGCACATCCCTTAACCCAGAATTTAGGAGGTTGAGGCGGGGGGGTTGCAAGCTTTAGTCTAACTGTAACTACACAGCAAGACCTTGTCAAAAAAAAAAAAAAAGGGTAGGTAAAATGATTGTTGGTCCTGTTGTTTGCCCTCCATGGAAACTGTCATTAAAGAAAATGCTAAGAACTGGCTTTAAAATACTTAGGGCTTCAAATGTATCTTAATTCATCTAATTACGTGAAATTTTTATCTACAGGAATTTTCCATGTTAGGCTGTCAAAAAAAAAACAGACCAGAAGAACTCCCTTCAAAATTGGAACCCTGGCTGGGTGGTGGCCCAGCACTCAGGAGGCAGAGGCAGGCAGATCTCTGTGAGTTCAAGGCCAGCCTGGTCTACTACAGAGTGAGTTCCAGGACAGCTAACCTGTCTCGAAAAACAAAACAAACAAACAAACAAAAACCTGGGACCCCGTGTGTAACTTCCCTTCCCCTCCCCTCTCCTGCCCTCCTCCTCCTCCTCCTGAGCCCACGTCTTGCTCATGTTTCACCTCTGTGCTTTAAGGTGCCCATCCCGACTCCAAGCTCTTCGGAAACTTGATTCTTCTGTCCCTTTGTCCCCTGTAGGTAAGTGGATGGAGGTGAAAGCCACTCCAAAGTCTGCTCAGGAACTTGTGCTCCCTCCTGTCCTCGCCCCGTCTTCCCAA